TCCCACTGCACTTGTTGAGAAGGAAAATCAGGGATTGTTATTTAACCACCAGTTGACATTAAAAGCATCATAAAGGCCATCAACCTGATTTATAGCTTGGGAAAAAATCCAGGGGAGTTTCCAGCTATTCATTCAAGTCGGTTCTGTGTTAGAATGGCTTAGGACATTGGCTGGTTCCCCAGAAAGTGTTTTTGGAGCAGAAACTTCAGCTGTCAGCTAGAGTTCTCCACCTGGGCTTCCACTCCAGTAAACCTGGATGCTGCAAACGAACACACAGGTAGTCCTCAACTTACAGAAACCTTTTGGGAAAAGTGTATTTTTGAGGTTTGACGGCTAATAACATCATCTTTTTTTTTTTTGGAGTTTCAAGATAATCATATTCCACTGCTGGAATAACCTAATATGGCTTCCAATGCTGACACTGGGAATAGCCCAGACTTAACCCAATTGAAAATCTATGGAGGTGACTAAAGAAACTCAGAAGCAACCCAGCAATAAAACCCAGTTAACCGACGCCATCCTTCAATCTTGGTTTCACATTAGAACAGCTGCAGAACTAAAAGACTTGGTTCACTCCACGGGAAGACATTGTAATGGCATAATTCATGCTAAAGGTTACCCAACTAAGCATTAACAGACATGGTGATCATTTTTGTAGATCTCGGTTTCTGTACGTGTTTCACTTTTCTTCTTTATACTGTAACTGCTATTCTAATAGCAAAACCTTCATAAAAGTTATGGCATTACATTCTTGATTAAATTATCTTTCCATTGATATATAATTTTATGGTACTACTAAAAAAAAGTGGTGTTATTAGCTAGCTTTAGAAAATACACTGTTCCCAAAAGGTTTCCCCAATTTTGGCCACTACTTTACAACAGTTCATTGTTCGAAGTTACAACAGCACTGAAAAAAATGACTTTGGATCAGTGGTGGGTTTCAACATTTTTTACTATCAGTTCTGTGGGTGTGGCTTGGTGGGCATGGCTTGGTGGGCGTGGCATGGAAGGATACTGTAAAATCTCCATTCCAACCCCACTCCAGGAGAAGGATACTGCAAAATACCCATTGCCTCCCGATCAGCTGAGACTTGGGAGGCAGAGAATAGATGGGGGCAGAGCCAGTCAGAGGTGGTATTTACCGGTTCTCCGAACTACTCAAATTTTCCGCTATCAGTTCTCCAGAACTGGTCAGAACCCACTGAAACCCACCTCTGCTTTGGACCATTTTTCACACTTAATAACAGCATTCCCATAATCAGGATATTGGTGTTGTGTTACCAACCAGCAGAGTAAATGCACAAGGAAACATTGCTGAGAGCAATGAATAAGAGATATGCAAACTGGTTTATCAAAAGCTTACTTTATAGTAAAAAAACTATAGAAAAAGTCTCATAGTCTTTAAACAAATTCCAAGTCTTTGCCAGTTAAATCAGTCCAGTAGTTACAGATATCTTCTTACCAAACAAACATTAATTGGTTAGAATAACAAACTCACTCTGGTTCACAAACCACGATGGTAGCAGATTCCATCAAACGATGATTAGCAGAATGATATCAACTCTTCACTATGGCAGCATATCATACTCTGGTACCATATCATATCAGCTCCATACACAATGGCAGCATATCATAGCAGCAACTGAACACGTTACAATACCTTGCTTAAATACTCTCACAACCAGTCATTACCTAATTACAGCATGACTCAGCATTACAATGAATCAGCAAGAAAACCTTAAAGTAATATAATACATTTACAGATTAAAGTTACAGTACACTTATATTACCTGGACAACTTGTTAGGCTCAAACCATATCCTAACAACGTGATCAAAATTCGGATGCTTGACAATTGACTCCTATTTATGACCGTTGCAGTGTCCCCTTTTGCATCATTCATTAACATCAAATCACAACTTTTTGCTTTTTCATAGTAATATCAACTAGCCAAAGCTTCAACAGTACTGAAACAAAGGGACTTATGACTGTTTTTCACACATACGACCATTGCAGCATTCCCGTGGCCACCTGATTAAAATTCAGAGGCTTGGCAACGGATTCACATTTATGACGGTTGCAGTGTCTCGGGGTCACAGGATCCCCTTTTCTGACCTTCTGATAAGCAAAGTCCACGGGGAAGCCGGATTCACTTAAACAACCTCGTGTTACTAATTTCACAACTGCAATGATTCGCTGGGCAAGAAAGGTTGCAAAATCAGGGCAAAAAACTCACTTAACAAATGTCTCACTTAGCAACGTTGCTGTTGGGCTCAATTGCGGTCATAAGTTGAGGACTACCTGTATTATACAGAGTAAACAAACCGTATATCAGGAGGAGGAAAAGGCCATCTTGGCAACAGGGGCCACGCTTTGGATTTAAGTGATGGGCTGCCCAGCGTGATGCTTGAATGGTTTTTAAATCGTAGCGAGTGGGATATATATATAAATTTGATTTATATGCCGCCCTTCTCCGGAGACTCAGGGCGGCTTACAATGCGTTAAGCAATAGCCTTCATACTTTTGTATATTTATACAAAGTCAGCTTATTGCCCCCACAAACTGGGTCCTCATTTCCACCTACCTTAGAAAGGATGGAAGGCTGAGTCAACCTTGAGCCTTGGAGAGATTCGAACCTGCAGTAATTGCAGGCAGCTGTGTTAATAACAGGGTGCGTAGACCACTGTACTATCAAGGCTCTTTATGGAGATATTATGAATTATCTCCAGGTTATTGAAATTCAAGCATTGGATTGATCGTGATATGTAGTCAAGAATGTATAATTGAAATAAATCATTCTGATAGGCCACACAATAACAACCCAGTGCACCAGTTCTGGCCAAAGGAGAATTTGTAAGAAGAGTTTTGTGAATGCTTAGCTACAGAACTGTCATGAGATGTCCACGTTTGAGATCTGGAGTCCAAGCTTTATTTCTGATCCCCATTGAGAGTTACTGACTCAGTTGCAAACGTTAAGATGGAACTGCATGACTTCCAAGCTTGTTTTAAAAGCATTCGCTCTATTAATTTAAACCTAATGAACAGACATTAGCTAGGTTTAATCTCATTAACTGTCAACCTCAACCTGATGCAGCATGTTAGTTGCAAAAAAAAAAAAGAATTTGCAAGGGATGGAGACAAGTGGGAAAGGGAAGAGGAAAGGGAAGGGCAGGGGAAAGGAGAAGGGAAGGGAAAGGGAAAGGGAAAGGGAAAGGAAAGGGGAAGGGAAAGGGAAAGGAAAGGAAAGGAAAGGAAAGGAAAGGAAAGGAAAGGAAAGGAAGAGAAAAGAAAGGAAAGGAAAGGAAAGCAAAGAGAGAGAGAAACAAGGGAAGGAAAGGAAAGGAAAGGAAAGGAAGAGAGAAGAAAGAAAGGAAAGGAAAGGAAAGGAAAGGAAAGGAAAGGAAAGGAGGGAAAGGAAAGGAAAGGAAAGGAAAGGAAAGGAAAGGAAGGAAAGAGAGAAACAAGGAAGGAAAGGAAAGGAAAGGAAAAGGGAAGTGGAAGGGAGCAGAGAGGAGAGGAGAAAAAGGAAAAAGGGAGGGAAGGAGAGAGGAGATGAATGGACTGGAGGGAGCCATGCTATAACCCTCTAAAGCAATTTCTCAATTTCTGTATAACGTGCAAAACAGACCCAGAGCACAGAGTTCATCTGTGAGGGAGATGGGCAGGTCTTATATTTGATAAATAAAATAAATAAATCTTCACAATATCAGATATCAAACCATTTGGTCAGCTATATCAGTTGCTTTGGAAGTTGCAGCTCCAACTTTTCTTTCAATTGGATGGAATGCATTTTGCATTTTAAATTAAATAACTTCCCAAACACAGAAAGAGAGGAGACAGAGAGATAGACAGAAAGCAATTCTATGCGAATCTTGCAGTGCATGTTTTTAAAACAAAAATACATAAAGGAATAGTTATGTACAAGAATGCATGTTTATTAGATAGAAAGGAAAGGAGAAAAATGGAGGAGTCACTTAACATATTTTTGGACAAAAAAAAATAATCCCCCAGATTTGATCATTTTGACCCCGTCATCAAATCTTATCACATATTTCCAGATAATCACAAGAGGCCCATCTTTTGCAGGTTCTGATTTGTAAAAGTCCACTTGGAAACTGTTCTATAAATACTCTTTGACTCCAGTTTTTTTTTTTAATTAAAAAAAAAATCCCGGAAACCTCTGTTCAGGGAAACTCTGGTGTCTTGCAGCAAGAAAACTGCCACGAATTAAATGAGGTATATAAAAATTGATGTGGCTTTCCAAATTACATAATTAACCAAAGGAACTGACTCAGAGAACTATACAAAAAGAAAAAAAATATACAGAAAAGGAGCTGCAGCCAAATGAAAGGATTCCCTACAGCTTAATTAAGAAGCTTATTTCTTTCCTGAAAAAAGGACAATTCGTTTTTAAGGGGTGAAATTGTAGTTCCCGCATATTGTCGTCTGGGTATTTGAAGTCATTTGGCTGCTTTTTCTATCACTTCATAATCTGAGAAACAAGAGATGTGGGGTTTTTTGGTGTTTTTTTAAAAAATCAAAGTTGGATATTCACAGCTACTGCAAGATGATTAAATAGCAGTTGGGATGGTTAATGGACCTGAAACGGAAATTAGAAGCTGCTTCACGGGTGTAAAATTGAAAGGGTGGCTGATAATTAAGCAACTCTTATAAAACTCCAGAGACATTAAAACTTGGATGGGATGTGGAAATGCACAATGCAACAAAGAATTTGCCTGCAATGAAGAGGGGAAATAACCTCTTCACTTTGGAGAGGGCTATCTTCAGTTTGCACGGTTGGAAATACAGCAGGATACTTCTTAAAAATCTGAATCGAAACCTCTGTTTCTTTGCAAGAAAAATGTGGCATAGCAGGCTCTGTGAAAAGAGACCCATTAGTTAGATTCGTTTTTTAAACAAACCATGGTTAACAACGCCAATGCTTAGCGTTGAAGTTAGTTCTCTTTGCAAAAGATTTGACCTAAAATGGTGTCATTGCAGGAACACACATTTAAAAGGAAATAAAAGGGAAGCAACATCCAGCCTTAACAGGGATGCTACGCCTATTCCTAAGAATCGGTTTTCCTGAATCTTGGTGAAGCTGCCCTACTCCAGGAACTGAGCAAACAAAGACCAAATCCAGGGTAAGTCTCATAAGAAATGCTCGGGATCACAACAGCTATTGTAAGATTTGACTCAATCTGTAACAGCCTTTCCAAATCTGTTTTCCTGAGCTATTCTTGCAATGTGATCAAGATGCCTTTTCATATTATTAAGGGTGAAAAAAAAATTCTCAACCTTTTATATTTTGGATCGTGATGGCTCCATTGGAATTTAAGCATTGCTTCAATAGTAGTTATTTCTAATATTCTTTGTAGATGCTCCCTCAAAGCTAGAATGTTTCCAATGATAATTTTTTTTGGTATATTGTTTTGTATATTTGTTAACATCTTTTAAATATATATAACCATGGAAAGGTTATGCATATTTAAAAGGTTATTTTATTTTTTATTTAAAAAATAAAAAGGGACGCGGTGGCTCAGTGGCTAAGACGCTGTGCTTGTCGATCGAAAGGTTGACAGTTCAGGAGTTCGAATCAGGGGTGAAATCCAGCAGGTTCTGACAGGTTCTGGAGAACCGGTAGCGGAAATTTTGAGTAGTACGGAGAACCAGCAAATACCACCTCTGGCTGGTCCCAGATTGGGATGGGAATGGAGATTTTGTAGTATCCTTCCCTTGCCATGCCCACCAAGCCACACCACACCCACCAAGCCACGCCCACAGAACCGGTAGTAAAAAAATTTGAATTTCACAACTGGTTCGAATCCCTTTCATTTTGAAAGAAATAATTCCAGCTATATGAAGTCACCACTAAAAAGGACCTGTCATTGGCACCCACCAATCTGATGAATTTTAACGAAGTAAATTGGAGTCTCCAATGTTAAAAGAGCCATGGGTGGCACAGTGGTTAGAATGCAGTATTGCAGGCTAATTCTGCCCACTGCCAGCAGATCAATCCTGACGGTCTCAAGATTGACTCAACCTTCCGTCCTTCCGAGGTGGGTAAAATGATTGTTGGGGGACAATATGCTGACTCTGTAAACCGCTTAGAGAGGGCTGTAAAGCATGATGAAGCGGCATATAAATCTAAGTGCTATTGCTATTAATACTGGGAGAGATAATATATATCAGTGCAGAACCCCTTAAACTTGCATTCTGAAAAAAAAAAAAGAATTCTAAAGATGGTGCATGGATTGTTTATTCAATACTGTCACTTCCTGCAGGTTAAAAAAATCATGGTAGCAGCAGGAATTAACCCTGATGTGGAGAGACACAAACAATGGAAGGACCAACTCCTGAACCTGCCTTTGTCGATGTGGATAAAGGACTAACTTTGGCGTGCTTTGTCTTCCTCTGCCTTTTCCTCATCGTCATGATTATCCGCTGTGCCAAAGTGATCATGGACCCTTACAGTGCCATCCCAACCTCCACGTGGGAGGAACAGCACCTGGATGACTGACCAATCCAAAGGCTTGGGGGGGGGGGGGAAAGGTAGCCCCCAAGTCCTCTGCACCTTGGACCGACCATGGACTTGGTGCAAGAAAGCACATTAAGTGGCCACCTTATCAGGGTGAAAGCACTAAATAGGACTCCTCTTCACACTAAGATGCTTACAGCAACGGAGAAATTTTGAGAGTACGTCGATTCCAGCTCTGCCTGCAGATCTACTTGAATTCTTCACTTTGCCCTTCTAATCTATTGCCTCTCTCTCTCTCTCTCTCTCTCTCTCTCTCTCTCTCTCTCTCTCTCTCTCTCTCTCTCTCTCTCTCTCTCTCTTTTTTTCCAGGTTTCCATGAGAGGGGAACTACGACGGTTCTATTACATCAAGTAGCACAAAATGCTCTTTAGATACTAGAGCTCTCTTTCAAAGCTTTCTCTAGAGTAATCTGTATTTAGCAACGTTGGCTGCATTTAAATCCAATGTGAACAGCTTTATCCAGACTGCTTAGCATTTGAGTAGGGCCTGGGCGGTGGGGGTTGTCATCTTTCTTTCCCCACGTAGGGCAAACGATGTATGGGGGGTCCACGAAAAAAAAAATTGTTTTTGGGTTCATGTCAATTTAGTAATTCATGAGATTATATTAATTAGATCCAACTAGTATGCTTACTCTCTGTGTATCTTCCGTAGAATTAAAGACCGGTAGCAATAACGGAAAGCTCTTTTTTGGCCACTTTCAAAGATTTATAGGCTCAGCTCAGGTTATGTGCCTACGATTTAAGTCGTTATTTCAAGTGAAACCATAAAGATTTCAGTCGTTATTTCAAGTGAAACCATAAAAAAATTCAGTCATTATTTCAAATGAAACCATCAAGATTTCAGTCGTTATTTCAAATGAAATCATAAAGATTGCAGGCGTTATTTCAAGTGAAATGGAGTTGTCGATGGAGTTTGGGACACGGTGGCTCAGTGGCTAAGATGCTGAGCTTGTCGATTGGCAGTTCAGCGATTCAAATCCCTAGTGCCGCATAACAGGATGAGCTCCCGTTCCTTGTCCCAGCTTCTGCCAACCTAGCAGTTCGAAAGCATGTAAAAAATGCAAGTAGAAAAATAGGGGCCACCTTTAGTGGGAAGGTAACAGCGTTCCGTGCGCCTTTGGCATTGAGTCATGCCGGCCACATGACCACGGAGACGTCTTTGGACAGCGCTGGCTCTTCGGCTTTGAAACAGAGATGAGCACCGCCCCCTAGAGTCGGAAACGACTAGCACATATGTGCGAGGGGAACCTTTACCTTTACTTATGGAGATTCTCAATCATCCATGGTTGCCCCAAAAGTGCTTTTTCAAAAGGCAACTGGACTTCCTTTGTTTTTCCTTGAAGATGTTTCGCTGCTCATCCAAGAAGCTTCTTCAGTTGGATGAGAAGCGCAAAGTCTTCAAGGAAAAACTAAGAGAGTCCAGTGGCCTTCTGATAAAAAAAAACCTTTGGAACACAATTATTGTTGTATTCCCAAAATATATTTGTCAAGAAAATATCAAGAAATCAGACTGCCAAAAACATTGACTGAAGAAAAAAAGAGAACATTGTAACTGACATAATGGTTTTATGCTTCTTTATGTCAAACAAACGTAGAAACATCTCCAAACTTCTCCATTTTGTATGTTTTGTCACCTTCTTAGATCGTTCTGGCAGGAAGGATTTTTCCAGAACATTCACCAAACCCAATTCGATGACCTTTTCCCTGACAGTACCCTGAAAGAAAAGAAAGAATCATTTTGGCAATCGTTAACCAATTTTAAAATTTGCCCCTTTCTGGTATACTCTCTTACATTTTCTCCTTTACATGCATTTCCTTTCCTCCCACCTCAACCAACCCATTCTGTGGCCACAGACCAGACGTTTGGGAGGGATATTCCTCCATCTGAAAGATGATTAGTATTATTATATTGGATCTGCTTTGATCTGTCTTGAGTATAGAAGATTATGCTTTGACCACACAACAATAAGCATAAAGAGTTTTTACCTACTTGGAATCAGGTTATTTAGCAATGAACAGCTGAGATTGTTTCACCAGAGAACAAGATCAAAGAAGCGTAAGCATGTGGAACAAATCAAACATGTTTTCCTTCAATCCCTGCAGCTATATTATATATCTGAGTGACAAGAAAAACTGCCATCCAACTCAGCCTTTTACTCAACAATGCCTTTGAGAGTGAACAAGCCCACCCCGAGCTGCAACCAGAATCAATATTTCCAGAGGCCAAAATGTATGAATATTTATTTACAGGGTCAACCATCAATCCGATGAGATCCTGGACAGCAAACAACATGAAAACACGAATAAAAGCAAATATATGTGTCCCAGGATAATGTTGCAAGATCAAATCTGAGTCGGTCACTGAGATCAGAGGTTTAGTCTTCTGAACTTTCTGACTCGTGCTGGAGCCCATCCTCAGGGAATTTCTCTATATTGGATTGAAGCCTGGGAGATGATTAGGGGTCTGGAGGCTAAAACATATGAAGAACGGTTGCAGGAACTGGGTATGTCTAGTTTAATGAAAAGAAGGACTAGGGGAGACATGATAGCAGTGTTCCAATATCTCAGGGGCTGCCCCAAAGAAGAGGGAGTCAAGCTATTCTCCAAAGCCCCTGAGGGCAGGACAAGAAGCAATGGATGGAAACACATCAAGGAGAGAAGCAACCTAGAACTAAGGAGAAATTTCCTGACAGTGAGAATAATTAACTGGTGGAACAACTTGCCTCCAGAAGTTGTGAATGTCCCAACACTGGAAGTTTTGAAGAAGATGTTGGATAACCATTTGTCTGAAGTGGTGTAGGATTTCCTACCTAAGCAGGAGGTTGGACTAGAAGACCTCCAAGGTCCCTTCCAACTCTGTTATTCTAAATGGGCCCCCTGTCAGTCAACAAGAGTGCTGATTTACTACAAGCTTATCAATTACTTAGAGACCAAGGGCTTGGCAGCACAAGGAAACAACAGCCAATTGCCAGCCATCAACACACCAATCAGCCAATAGAAAGCCACCACATATATACAACTCACAGAATAACACAAAGTACATATTCCAGTAGAGAGAAGTTCCCTGAAGCTGAGCTCAGACAAGTCTTGAAGCTTGGAAGAGTAAACCTCTGGTCCCTGTGACTGACCCAGATTCAATCTTGCAACATGAAAACATATCTAATCCATATCCAGGTTGAGGCCTCTTTTAAAACCTCAGTTCCCCAAATATCTCAGGGACATGGTCCAGAGTTCCCATAAATTAACATCCTATCCCCCAATATTAATGAATAAACAATTTCTAAGATTTCACATCAGCTTGTGTCTTCCCATCCAGATGTTTCTTCCCTTCCAGGCCTTCTCCAATCCAGCCCAGGCTAGAGATGCACAGCTCTTTTCACCGCTTACATTCACATCTGCTTACCTGTCATAATGACCTCATCTCCATCCTGCAGAAATGTTCGGGATTGATCATGCCCGAGATTGATACTTTTTGTCCCATTCCAGGACAGTTCCAACATGGACCCAAAATTCTCAGGTTCCTTCAAAAGCAGAAATCAGAAAAAAGAAAACTGAGCATCCGTAGACTTTGTAACTATTGCCCTGGCCTCTGTTTTGCAGAAATTAAGGCCACGCTGGGATTTGAAGAAAGAAACTGCTGTCAGTCCTTCACCATAATTTAATATTTTATTATCTGGAATAGGAGCAAGCTGAGAGGACTTTTGGTGTTGTTATTTTTAGCTAAAGCATATAAAATCTCAGAATCTTGATAGAATAAAAGCTGCCAAGAAGAATTCTAATTAAGCTGTATCTAAATTCTACTTTTCCTGGTAGCCTACCGGTTTTTCTGTCTTCCATCCTTTATGTTATTTTCTCAAAGCAGAAAGTGAAGAATTAGCAAGAACCCAATCTTGATAAAGCATACAGCAGGATCTACAGCAATGGCTGTTCCTATGCATATACTGCAACTAGGGATACTGAAAATGGAGAACTACATGTCCCATGATGCCATCTTTCCTTGATATACCACTGTCTAAGGCAGTGATGGCTAACCTTTTTGCCATCGCATGCCAGGAGCAGGGCAGGGGTGTCACACATGCACGTGCCCACACCCATAATTCTATGCGCCCTGCCCCCATGCGTGCGACTCCCCTCGCTTCTGGCATGCAATGGCACGATAGCCCCGTTTTTGCTCTCCCCAGCCTCCAGAGCTTTTCTAGGAGTCTGGGGAGGGTGAAAACGGCCTTCCCCACCCCGCCCAGAGGCCCTCCAGAGGCTGAAAACGGCCCGTTTGCCAACTTTACTCCCCAGCCTCCAGAGCCTTTTTAGGAGACTGGGGTGGGCGAAAATGGCCTTCCTCAACCCCATGGAGGCCCTCCCGAGGCCCAAAATAGGCCATTTTCAGCCTCTGGAGGGCGAGTAAGGCCGTTTTCGCCCTTCCCAGACTCCTAGAAAGGCTCTGGAGGCTGGGGAGAGAGAAAAACGGGCCTTCCCCACCACCCCCCGAGGGTGGTTTCCCTACTTCTGGTGGGCCAAAAGGCACGCCGGAGCTGAGCTTGCATGCCCACCGATATGGCTACATGTGCCACCTGTGGCACGCATGCCATAGGTTTGCCATCACAGGTCTAAGGCCTTGATGTATGACTATAGTCATAACAAGGAATGCAATCCTGCTGGCACTTTTTTTTAACCACACTTCGATGGAGCAGAAAACAACCCAATTCCTAATGCTCAAAGCTGCAATCTCCAAGTTCTGTTATGCCCCAATCTGGAGATGAGAAAGGATCTATTGAAATGCATTTTGAAATAGTTTGAAAACCTGGTTGGCTTTAGTTCTATGGCTATTAGATTTCTCACTGCAGGTTTAAAAGTTTAAATATTTTGACAACCATTATGATCCGTTCAATACTTACTGGCCCACTAATAGTTCCAGAGGCCAGAAGATCTCCAGGTCTGAGGTTGCAACCGTTAACAGTGTGGTGAGTTAGCTGCTGTTTCATAGTCCAATACATGTGCTATGTATCAAGAAAGAGAATGTTAGCCATAAAGACATATGAACATACTCTACATCCGTTTTCCATAGGTTATATGAGACACTAGATTATAATAACTTTTTCTCTTACCTTAAAGTTTGACCGACAAATATTTACCGGCTTGCACATACCATCTCCTAAAAGCAAGCAAATATTATTAAGGAAAGTAAAGAAAGTGTCAAGGTTCCAACAGATGCCCTAATTAACTCATGAGTCTCCAGCCAAGTTTCAAAAGAAATCCAGTTATTTATTAGGAGCAACATGTCAGCATCTACTCAAGTGAAGTCAACTCTGCCACATGTAATTTACAGCTCAACTTTGATCCGGTTTCCCCCCTCCTCTCAGTCTGTGTCATAAATCACATTTTCCAACGACCTTCCCCTGTAGAAACCATTCCTCACAAACTGACTTTGGTAATCTGAGATCCAACCTTGGAAGAAGGTATGCGTGGAATGTGCTCCCACCTTGCTGGCAATTCAAGAGCAGACTAGAAATGTTTTGCGAGTTGACAGAAAGTCTGTGCCCACTCTACCTTTTGAACATGATCAAAAGGGAACTTTAATCTTGTGCATAAGCACAAATTAATTATATCTACAGGGTGTTTTTTTCTTTTCATAAGTACAGGGCACCCCCTTCTGATCTGAAATGTACGTAATGCCTAAAATATTGCAATGGTATGTGGGGATTAACTTGGAAGACAAGAGGAAGAGCCATAGACAACCAGCTTGTACTGATGATGCTACCTAGTTGGGTAATAAAACGTTGAAAGAAAACAACCAAGCTCAGAGAGCATCAAGGACATTTCAACTCTGTCCTATAATATTCTCCTTCACTGAGACTAGATAACCATCATGCAGAAGGACTCTCAACCCACAGAAGGATAAGGGGCATGGGAAGCACCTCAGAAAAGACCCTCCCCAGTTCTCTAGGAAGTAAAAGAAAAGGAGGGGAGAAACATTTTTGTCTTGCAAGGTTCTATTATTGTAAGGTAAAGGTAAAGGTTCCCCTCGCACATATGTGCTAGTCGTTCCTGACTCTAGGGGGCGGTGCTCATCTCCGTTTCAAAGCCGAAGAGCCAGCGCTGTCCGAAGACATCTCCGTGGTCATGTGGCCGGCATGACTAAACATCAAAGGAGCATGGAACGCTGTTACCTTCCCACCAAAGGTGGTCCCTATTTTCCTACTTGCATTTTTTATGTGCTTTCGAACTGCTAGGTTGGTAGAAGTTGGGACAAGTAACGGGAGCTCACTCCGTTACACAGTGCTAGGGATTCGAACCGTTGAACTGCCGACCTTTCAATCGACAAGCTCAGTGTCTTAGCCGCTGAGCCACTACATCTATTCTTGTAACCCTACAATAAAGGTAGTGTTAGTGATGATGGTTTGTGCTACTTGTCTGAACTACATTAAAGGGTTGGCATACATCTAGGTAGTAACAGGGTAGAGATAGCTCCAAGCAAGAATCCTGATCTCCGAGGTCAAATCAACTGCTTGGAGAGAGGACAGGTTTTTTCCCCCCCATTCTCAACAAGAAAGTACATAGGTTCAAGACATGTTTTCAAGTCACATGTCATTATCTTAGTCTCATGAATTTGCTCCTTTGAAGCTCCTCAAGTTGTTAACTGACTTGGAACCACAACATACATACCTTTTATAGCAACGAAGAGGTTTATGTCAAAAGTATAAGGCTGGTCATCACAAAGGTAAGTCAGGGGCTTGGGGTCCTTGAAAGAATATAAGAAATATCATTCTCTCTAATACCAAGAGTGGTGCAGTGGCCTAGAGGTGGAGCTCTTGCCTCATAATCAGGAGGCTGTGAGTTCGATCCTAGGTAGAGGCAGGTATTTCTCTCTCTGGGCACAATGAGAATATATCTGATGAACAAAACTCCACATTGGCGACAGGAAGGGCATCCGGCCAGTAAATACTCAGCTCCATTCAGTCGTCCGGACTCCACCCCCGCAAGGCATTATGAGGTCATTAAAAGAAGATAATTCTCTCTAATAGCAAACTGGAGAGTTAGACTTCTAATCGTTTATGGCTCATGCAACACTCAGAAGTAGAAGCCAACGAAGTACCTCCTTTCCCTTTAATTATATTGTTGTTGTAAATCGTGATACATGATATCGTTTCAGTGAAGTGATGTTTCAATAAATGTAGGAAAAAGACAGGCAAAGTCTGGGGTCGAGTCAAGAGAGGAATCAGCCAGGAATCATTACATTCCCACAAGCAATCCAACTCCAGGCCTTCTTGAATTTTGGTTGCTCTTATCTAGTGCCAATTTAGTGCTGACTGTTAATTAGATTCTGAACATGAGCAATAAATCAGCTTAACTAGGTGGTCCTGAATTTTTGTCTGATGATAAAACAATTATAGATAATGAGCATCCCATTGTTTAAAAAGCTTTAGATGCTGAAAACGGAGCACCAAGGTAAAAGTTTCTCAGTATTAATTATAATTTAGGTCGTCAATATTTCAAGCATAGAATTATTTAGCTTTCCAGCCAGAGTTAAGAATAACATTAGAGAAAGAAAAAGAAATGCTGCAACTCATATCCGAAGTATTAGCTACATCTCAATAGCTTCAATCTGAAGCTGATTAAGGAATATTGAAACCTCCGTTGTACGGTGCATACGTATATGTATGAACACATGTTGGATTAATGTTAGCATGAAGCTAAATTGAATTTTGGGAAGACAGTATCTCCCAAAAGTGGTAGGGTCTGGTATCTTGGCTACTTTAAGTTTGCAATGGTGTGCCCTGTGTTTACACTTTGTACCAGGGGTGGGCTCCTGGGGGTTCAGGATTCGGGCGATCCTCTAGCCAAGAATCGTTGGGGTTCAGCGAACCCCCAAATGCCATCCCTGTCTGGCCATGCCTACCCCACCCCACCCTGCCCCCTCCTACCCACCCCTCTTCTCCCAGGAGTCTCCACACGGCCCGTTCATCATTCCAGGTCAGCGCAGGGGCTGTGTGGAGGGTTTGGCAGGGTAAAAAATGGGCCTACCAGAGGTTCCGGAAGCGCAGAAACAGGCTTGTTTCCTGCCTCCAGAGGGCCTCCAGATCCTGGGGGAAGCTGTTTTAGCCCTCCAGGAGGCTCGAGGAAAGCCTCCAAAGCCTGGGGAGGGTGAAAAATAGGCCTCCCAGAAGTTTCGGAAGTTTGGAAACAGGCCTGTTTCCGGCCTCCGGAGAGCCTCCGGACCCTGGGGAAAGCTGTTTTCGTTCTCCCAGAGGCTCAAGGAAAGCCATTGGAGCCTGGGGAGGGTGAAAAACAGGACTTCCGGAACTTCCAGAAGTCTGGAAACGGGCCGGTTTCTGGCCTCCGGAGGGCCTCTGGACCCCGGAGGAAGTAGTTTTCACCCTCTTGGGGGCTCAAGGAAAACCTCCGAAGCCTGGGAAGGGGGAACACCCCCCCCCACCATGGTGTAGGCAGCTGACTAGGCCACACCCACCATGGCCACACCCACCCAGCAACGGGGCAGCGAACCCGTTGCTAAAGGATCTGAAGCCCACCCCTGCTTTGTACCAACCTGGATAGGATTTGGCAGTGCAAAGGGCATCAGAGCTTCCATAGTGACAACCCATGGAGAGATAGTGGTGCCAAAACTCTTGCCCAGGAATGGACCTAGGGGGACATACTCCCACTTCTGAATGTCACGAGCTAAATGAAGAAAACAAAAGCAGAGAAACCTTCAGGATGAAATCATTGCCACATCACAATTGTGTCTAAAATCTCTGATTTGTTTGTGAGCAACTCTCTCCCCTTCTCTCCCTCAAGCTTGCCCCACAGAAGCCTCTCCTCTCCTATCCCCCTTCTCTCCCTCAGGCTGGCCCCACAGAGGCCTCTCCTATTTTATCTCCTTCTCTCCCTTTCAGGTGGGGAGTAGAATGTCTAAACTCTCAGCCCACAGGCCGGATGAGTCATGTGCTGCCCAAGTGGCAGTTGGAACAGAGTTCTTTTCAGGTGGGGAGGGGGAGTAGAACGTCTAACTCCTTAGCATCAGAGTGTGTTAATAATAATGTAAGAAATACTAATGATCTGATGGTCATTTCGAAAAAATCCTTTCTTAGCGAGCACCTAGAAGCTAAGAGGAACATACATGCCAAATTTCAACTTTGTAGGCTTTACGATTCTGGAGATTTCGTGATGATGCATGAGTGGTATTTTGCAGATAGATAGATGGATGGATGGATGGATGGATGGATGGATGGATGGATGGATGGATAGACAGACAGACAGACAGACAGACAGACAGACAGACAGACAGATGTAGCTGCACATCTTTCAGCCAAATCTGGATGGTTCTCAATCAAATCTGGAGCAAATCTAGTGAGTTCTGCCTAACGTTGGCTTATGGTCTACCATCAAAGGAAAAAAGATTAATGGTGCATTACCACTCCAGTCGTTCATGAGCACCATTCCAAAGATGTGTTTGTGAGCTTCACCAATGGGGATGGGTACTCCAAGCGTGTTTCCAGGTCCGATGAAAAATGCCTGGAAAAAGTAGAAGGAAACTTTGTCAGGCATTATCAGAAAAGCATATCAAAAGCATACGTTCAGACAACTGACCTGGAGATGAAACAGAAGAGCTCCTGAAAACTGTCCCAAAGGTGCTTTTTCAGGAGGCAATTGGACTTTCTTGCTTTTTCTTTGAAGACGTTTTGCTTCTCATCCAAGAAGCTTCTTCAGTTCTGACTGGATAGTGGGGGAATGGAAGGATTTATATTCCTTGCAGACAGCTGGTCATTTGCATCCTTTTAGTGGGTCGTTGAAGCACTTGGAGATTTATCTGTGTCCTCAAGGTCACCTGAGTAGTGCAAATGGTTCCTGTAGTCTGCAGTTTTTCCTCTGGAAAACCTGAGGACACAGATAAACCTCCAAGTGCTTCAACGACCCTCTAAAAGGATGCAAATGACATGTGATAAAGTTAAAAAGTTTTGGCAACAATTGGAGGAAATGATATTTGAAATGATGGGGAAAGCAATAATATTGAGACCAGAAACTATATTACTGTTGATAATTAAGGAAATAGAACCAACAAAATATGAGAAAGAATTGATTAGAATTATGATTATAATGGGTAGAATTATAATAGCCAGATATTGGAAATTAGATGTGAATTTTAGAATAGAAGAATGGTATTGTGAAATGTGGAAATTAGCTTTAAATGATAAAATGACATGTGATATTAAAATTAGAAATGGTGACTATAAAGAAGATATTTTCTGGAAAATTTGGAAACCATTTGTGGACTATGCGCTGGGAAAATTGGATGCTTCGGTACCTGTACCCCGAGAACGTGGATTTTGGCGATCATGAGGATATATCCGAAGAACCAAATCTTCCTTTCTTATGTATAGCACAGGGTGAAATATTGTATATGTTGTTTGTAATGTTAGTAATTTAAAATATAAAATGAATAAAAATAAAATAAAATAAAATAAAAGGATGCAAATGACCAGCTGTCTGCAAGGAATATAAATCCTTCCATTCCCCACCATCCAGTCAGAGCTGAAGAAGCTTCTTGGATGAGAAGCGAAAGATCTTCAAAGAAAAAGCAAGGAAGTCCAGTTGCCTCCTGAAAAAAGCACCTTTGGGACAACCATGATCTGAATCTCTACAGGCTCTTGAGAATTCTTGATCAGAAACCTCAACAGAGAAGAATGGAATAATGAAGCAATATTATCTACATTATGATCCTTTTCTGTAATCTCTGCCTAGTCAGCTCCAGAACTGGCCTTACATCAATTATCCAGATCTTGGCATTTCTGGGATCCCTTTTTCTGTTTCCCACACTTCTTCCCTCCATTGCAAATTATACAAAGGAGGATCCAGAAATGACTATATAATTTTATTTTGCTCCTGGTTGGATGTCTTTTGTTCTCCTGCTGCTTTAAATTGCCGTGTCTACAAAATGCTCTTACTGCTTTGATTCATTTACATCAAGTTGTAGCCATGTGTGTGTTTGTGTCTATGTATTGTCTGTGCATGTATTAACTGAAAGGTACAGCAGAAATGTATTTCTTTTTCTTTTTTAAATGCAAAGGGGATGTAGAGAGTGGCAACGAAAGAAGAAAGAAGGTGGCATTTAGATCCTAAGAAATTGTCATGCATGTATCCTAATGTTCAACTGAAATGTTGGAGATGTGATTGCTTAGATGCTACATATTATCATATATGGTGGACATGCAAGAAAGCCAAGGCTTTTTGGATAAAAATTTGGTGGGTTATGCAAAATGTTTTGAAGAAAAAAATTCAATTTTCTCCTCATTTGTTTTTATTAGGTATAGTTAAGGGTTTTTCAGTGGGCGAAACAAAATTGATATTGTATATGGTGACAGCAGCTAGGTTATTGATTGGTCAATTTTGGAAAAGGGTTGATATGCCTACAATTCAAGAATGGACTTTGAAGATGGCCAGTTTTGCAGAAATGGTGAAGATATCAGCATACTTAAAAGACCGGACTCAAGAGACTTATGTATGGGAGTGGAAGAAATGGATAGATTATGTGCAGAATAAATATCAAACTAGGAAGTATCAAATAGCTTTTAGCTAAATGTTGTGTAGAAATGTATAGTTTATGGGGGGCAAAATAGCTTACTGCTATGTAGAAATGTATAGTGCACAGGGGGGAGAATAGAGGGGTGGTAAAGTATGATATAATATAATGTGGATGGATTTCACCTTGGGGAAGTTATGGGAAGAGGGGAGGGTTTGGGGGAGGGATGGGGAGGAAATGGGGAAAAATTGGTATTTGTAAAACTTTTTCAATAATAATAAAAAAGAAGTTGTGGGTGATTCATCATGGAGGTTTTTAAGAAGAGGCTGGGGAGCTACTTGCTTCAAATGGTATGGGGTCTCCTGTTTGAGCAGGGGGTTGGACTAGAAGACCTCCAAGGTCCCTTCCAGCTCTATTCTGATTGATTGATTGTTAGTAGGTTTGATCTAGCTTTCATTTCATTTTCCCCAGAAGTGGTATCTATCTATCTATCTATCTATCTATCCATCTATCCATCATCATCCATCCATCCATCATCCATCCATCATCTATCTATCTATCTATCTATCTATCTATCTATCTATCTATCTATCCAGAAGAAGCACGTCCATGGTACCCAACTGGTAGGTGCAACCTTGGAAAACATGGATCATGTGTTAAAAGCACATCTCATTTCTAATCTCTGGAGGGATATACCCTTATATACTCGAGTATAAGCCGACCTGAATATAAGCCGAGGCACCTAATTTTACCACAAAAAACTGGGAAAACTTATTGACTCGAGGATAAGCCTAGGGTGGGAAATGCAGCAGCTACTAGTAAAATAAAATATAGCAGACTGAGTACAGTAAATAAACATACTGTATATCCAAGACCAGAGATATACCGGTACTTGTATTCAGCAATGGTTGGGCGGAGCAAGGGGGCATGACCAGGGATGAAATGCTCCCGGTTTGGACTGGATCGCCCGATCCCGTAGCGATGGAGGCGAGTGGTTCGGAGAACCGGTAGCAAAAATCCCTGCCCCCCCCCATGCCCAGCTGAGCCGCACAATCATCAGAGGCTTTTTTTTTTTAACTTTTAAAAGCATTTTTTCTACAACCTCTTCAGCCGAAAAAATGCTTTTAAAAGTAAAAAAAAAAAAAGCTTCTGATGATCGCGCAGCTCAGCTGGGATCGTCAGAGGCTTTTAAAAGCATTTTTTCTACAAGCTCTCCTGGGAATAGTAAAGAAGGTGTATGGAAAGAAAAAGATTCATCTGATAATACATATAACCACAGCTGCTAGACTGGCGTATGCACAATTCTAGAAAGAGAAAACCCTGCCAGCAGAAGAACTTATAATTAGGAAAATACTGGAGTGCGCAGAGATGAGTAAATTAACGTACGAAATAAACAACGATGAAAACTCAGAGTATTATACTGTGTGGGAAAGGTGGTATGAATGGATGAACAATAGAATTAAAGAAGGAGTATAAGGTACGATAAATAAGTGGCAACAAATTGCTTAAGTGACACCAGATATATTTTATGTACATATGTATAAACACTGCAGATCCGATGTCAATAGAAATGAGATTTTTGTTTTCTATATATATATAAAACTTAATAAAGTATATTTAAAAAAAAAAAGAAAAAATGTTTTTAAAAGTAAAAAAAAAAAATTGGCCACACCCACCCAGTCACAATACCGAGACCGATAGATAACTATGAAGTCCTGTGATAGATTAACTAAATCAAGCTGCACAATTCACGGATCATAAAAACCTAAAATTCAGTCCCTAATTTTATTTATTTATTCATCCCTGGATTTATTTTTGTGGTCCACAAATTGGACAGCAAACTGCCACCCAACTGACATTTTCAGAACATTTAATTCAGCCTCCATTCAATTAAGTCTGAATTACAATTGCAGCAAGCCTGTTCCAATTTTTGTTCTGGCCCCAACCAAAGGTCAACGCCCTCGAAAATGCAGCACCTAGAACGCAGACAATAAATTGCTGCAGATATTCACCCAAATCAATCCGATAAATTCGGTGCCCCGTATCTTCTGGTTCAGAGAAAGAAAGACAGTTACTGACCAGTTGGGCATCAGCGCATTCTCCTTTCCTCGAAACATCATCCCGACGTTTGTTGCATGTTGCCGAGAAGAGTAGAAATCTGTGTAATCTCCTAGAAGGAGAATGAATGAATGAATGAATGAAGATGGATAGACAGATAGATAGATAGATAGAGGTAGGTAGGTAGGTAGGTAGGTAGATAGATAGATAGATAGATAGATAGATAGATAGATAGATAGATAGATAGATAGATGGATCATAGAGGTAGATAGGTAGGTAGGTAGGTAGGTAGGTAGGTAGATAGATAGATAGATAGATAGATAGATAGATAGATAGATAGATAGATAGATAGATAGATAGATGGATCATAGAGGTAGATAGGTAGGTAGGTAGGTAGGTAGGTAGGTAGGTAGGTAGGTAGGTAGGATAGATAGATAGATGATAGATAGATAGATAGATAGATAGATAGATAGATAGATAGATAGATGATAGAGGTAGATAGGTAGGTAGGTAGGTAGGTAGGTAGGTAGGTAGGTAGGTAGGTAGATGATAGATAGATAGATAGATAGATAGATAGATAGATAGATAGATAGATAGATGATAGAGGTAGATAGGTAGGTAGGTAGGTAGGTAGGTAGGTAGGTAGGTAGATAGATAGATAGATAGATAGATAGATAGATAGATAGATAGATAGATAGATAGATAGATGATAGAGGTAGATAGGTAGGTAGGTAGGTAGGTAGGTAGGTAGGTAGGTAGATGATAGATAGATAGATAGATAGATAGATAGATAGATAGATAGATAGATGATAGAGATAGGTAGGTAGAGAGATAGAGAGAGAGATAGCAATAGCAATAGCATTTAGACTTATATACCGTGTCACAGTGTTTTCCAGCCCTCTCTAAGTAGTTTACAGAGTCAGCATATTGTCCCCAACAATCTGGGTCCTCATTTTACATGGTAGAGATAGGTAGGTAGGAAGGCAGGCAGGCAGGCAGGCATACAGACAGACAGACAGACAGACAGACAGACAGACAGACAGACAGACAGACAGATTGTGGTTGTGGTTGTGGTTGTGGAAAATGAGAAAGCTAAGATCCTATGGGACTTCCAAATACAGACAGACAGCAGCCAGGTATTGGCTAATCAATCAATCAATCAATCAATCAATCAATCAATCAATGTCTTAAAATAAATTTGGATCCCCCCCTTTCTCCAATGTCTGACATGTACAGGTAGTCCTTGACTTGCAACAGTTTAGTGACCGTTCAAAGTTACAACGGCCCTGGAAATAGTGACTTACGGCCATTTTTCAGCAACAACCTTTGCAGCATCCCTATGATCCTATGATCAAAATTTAGACGCTTGGCAACTGACTCATACTTATGACGGTTGCAACATCCCCAGGTCACACCGTCCCCTTTGGAGACCCTCTGGCAAGCAAAGTCCATGGGGGAGCCAGATTCACTTAACAACCGGGTTACTCACTTAATTGCGGTGATTCACTTAACAACAGTGGCAGGAAAAGTTATAAAATGGGGAGGGGGGCAAACCTCCCGGAACAAATGTCTCACTTAAAAATAAATTTTGGGCTCCACTGTGATTGTTAAGTTGAGGATGAGCTGTGTTTGCTTTTAAAGGAACTTTGGATCAACACAATTCTTCTAGTGCCCCCTGGTGTTCTTCAACGGAACCTTTGGCTTACTCTTATATTTGTGTTTACGTTTGCATCCATTTCCAGTCCCCTTTCCAGTAGTGAAATGCTCTCGCTTTGGACCGGATCGCCCGATCCGGTAGCGATGGAGGCGGGTGGTTCGGAGAACCGGTAGCAAAAATCCCTGCCTCCACCCCAACCCCCAATGTCCAGCTGAGCCGCACAATCATCAGAGGCTTTTTTTTAACTTTTAAAAGCATTTTTTCTACAACCTCTTCGGCCAAAAAAGATGCTTTTAAAAGTAAAAAAAAAAAAAGCCTCTGATGATCGCTCGGCTCAGCTGAGATCGTCAAAAGCTTTTAAAAGAATTTTAAAAGCTTTTTTCCTTTTAAATGCCTCTGACGATCCAAGCTGAGTTGCCTGATCGTCAAAGGCATTTAAAAGAAAAAAAGCCTCTGCTGATCAGGAAACTCAGCTGGGATCGTCAGAGCCTTTTGAAAGCATTTTTTTACAACCTCTTCGCCGAAAAGGTTGTAGAAAAAATGGTTTAAAAGGAAAAAAAATGGCCACGCCCACCCAGTCACATTAACACCCCCCCACCAAGCCACGCCCACAGAACCGGTAGTAACAAATTTTAGATTTCACCACTGCCCCCTCCCCCTCCCTGCCCATCCCAATTCTCTTCCGTTTGATTGATATTACTGGCTGTAAAAGCTATGCAGGAAGGACCCGCCATTTTTGCCCCCTTCAAACATCTGGTCTTATCAAGTCACATCTGAGAAGCAAGTCCGATGCACAACACTCTAGCAGGTTTCTTGCAAGCCAAACGTTAACCCCCACAAGAATAACACTGGGAGGTTCAAGTCTTCTTTTATGCACAGGAAAGTAGTTTACCCTTTCTTTTATAAAAGAGTTTGAATGGCAGATTTCAGAATCTGATCACTTTGCCGGGGAAGAAAGGAGACAGAAGAAAATGGGGAAAACGCACGCACACAGGGTGGAAGAAGCCCAGGGGAGGAAGAAAGGAGAGAGAGAAATGGGGGAAACATGCAGACAGTGCAGAAGTCACCCAGGGACTGGGGCTTGATTGCAGACTCACCCAGGCAGATCAGGGCCGCTCAGCTGGGCTGCAGGGAGAGAGCTGCGTGGGATGCAGCCACGGTGGCGAAAGCAGGCAACTGGGCTGGCCCGCAGAGACCAGGTGGTCGAAGCAAGTGAGGGAGCCAGCCAGCCAGCAGCAGCTATGCCGGGTGAGCAGGCAAGATGAGGAGTGACTGGACAGGGTGAGGCGGGGCCAGCCAGAATTTTAACAACCGGTTCTCCCGAACCAGTCTGAACCGGCTGAATCCCACCACTGCTTTGCTCTTCTGTCCTTACGAACTATCGAGAGGTTCTACATTCAAAGAACTTACCAATTTCAGCTGGAAGATGCATTACTGCAGACGCTTGAGGTATAAATGCTCTGGGGAAGAAAGGAAAGGAAGCAGGACAAACATTTTATTCTCAAGAAACAACTCTTCTGAAATTTCCTCCACTCCCTACCAGTAATCCAAGAATTTAGACTAAGAGGCTGGATGTCCTCAACGTTTCCTTGGCTTTTAAAGGATAACTCACTTCTACCAAGAGAAGAGGATATTTGTAGCTCAGGGTTGCATTGTGGGGTCCTCAGTGTCCTCTGAGCCTGGTTGTTTTCTTGCAGATGTTGCCCAACTAAGTAACAACACTACATCAACCTTGCAAATTTGCTAATGCTGTGCCCATCACTTACTTACTCTTTACGCACAGTCAGGAATCAAATAGGTTGGTTAATGGCAAAAGTCAAAAGTCAATAAGTCAATAGAACAGTGGATGAGACTGTTTCCCTTGTCCAGGGAATTGCTGTTTAAGGGCACACTCCAACTAGGTAATAAGCTAACTGCTGTGGCCCACCAGTGGCCAGCAGAGCTGGCAGCATATTCGGACAGTGAGGAGGTTGGGGAGGAACATGGGCCAGTCCTGGAGTCTGGGGAAGGCTCTGATGAGGGCTCTGTGTCAGAGGCAGAGAGGGGGCCAGGGCCAGATGCCAGTTATCAGCTGCCTTCGGAGTCAGACATCAGTGAGGCAGACGAATAGCTGGAGCCTGTTCCCAGTGTGCGCATACACAGAGTTGCCAGATGAAGGGAACAGCTAAAGAACGAGGGTCGACTTGGGAGTAAGGCCACAGGTAGACGATGAATGCCCCCCCCAGAGGGAATAAAAGAGGAGTGAAAGGGGAGGAGAGTTTGCAGGAGACAATTAGTTCGCCTAATTGGTTCGTGACTCTCTGAGACTCCTTGCCAAGTTTTTGTTGTGGCCCCGCCCTCTGAGCCTATCCATCGGAGGAAGAAAGCTCCGAGCATGAGGAAGAGGAGTCAGCCAGGCCTCCCTCTCCAGGCCCCTCCCCTCTGGCACTGTCTCAGGTGCGGCCGAGGGAGAGGAGATTAGCAGGGAGACAGGTGTCTCGGATGAGAGTGAAGGAGAGACATCATTCCTGGACGCACGCCTCCGAAGGCGTGATAAATGATTGTAGCAGCTCAGGAGGCGTGCTAGGGATTAGAACTGAGTCACTGGACCACACCCCAGAGACTATATAATAGAGGGTGGTGGCCAGTGATCCCTGTGACGAACAAAAATAAACCTTGGATAGTCACTAGAGCATCGTCTGAAACTGCTGAGAGGAATATTTATTTTTGTTGGACTCTTGTACGCTGAGTATATTATCTTTCTGTTTCTGTGGAAATAAAAGCACTTGGCAGACGGTGTGTATATCGCTGCCAAGTTGGAGATAAAGACCTGGGTGTGTGCCAAGTGCTTCCTTAACCCTCGGCTGGCTGTGTTTGTGTGTGTGTGTGGACGGGGACAGATCAGTTTTGAAGATATCAGCCTGGCAGCTCTCCAAGCCAGATAAGGTCTGTGACTGTAAATTCTCCCTTGAAAGACTTTGCTGGATGTGAATGAGAGGAATTCACTGTTCGTTTAATAAAAGGGGTTTTGTCGGGACCAGGATTCTGCTTCGTGCTTTTTGGGGAAGCCTAGATCAGAACACTAACTCTTTGATTCTGACATTTTTTTTTAAATAATCTTTATTTACATTTTTCATTAAAAAACAACAAAACAAAACAAAACAAAACAACACACTATATATTCTGACATTTTGGAAACCATTGTCACTGCACTCCCACTAAATTGCACATCACTCATACATGCACCAAATGTACACGCTAGTTCTGTATTCAAGTACCTTTTGCGCAACTCTGTGTTATCTCTGAGTGTTGGCTCTTTGTCAGAGAGAATCTTTTGCAGCCACGATCTGGCCTCGGTCCAAGCTTCCCAGCCCAATGCCATGAAAGCATTGAGAGTTGACTGAAACAAAGGTAAAAGGAGAGAAATCACGTTTTCCCAGGCTCCAATATAGGATATGGACAACAAGCTACTAAGAGATCCCAATTCCATGATGTGCAACCTGGAAGCCATTTTTCCACCCCAACACTTGGCCCTGGGTCTTTATCTCAGTCAGTTCTCTCAAGTCATGCTCAAGAACCTGATATTACACCAGACAGTCGAATAGAATAGAATAGAATAGAATAGAATAGAATAGAATAGAATAGAACAGAATAGAATAGAATATACAGTAATTCTTTATTGGCCAAGTGTGATTGGACACACAAGGAATTTGTCAAGAACAAAAGATAGATGAAAACTGTTTCCCCCATCAAAAGTGAGTGACTCGGAGCTCTTTACCTGCATGGGCAGGAGAAAAGGATACAAAAATTTAACGTTTGGTTTCACTATAAAGAGCAGCCACTGGAATTCTTTTGCAAAATCTTCATGAGCTTTTCTACAAAGAACCCATGGATTGAAGCTTGCTGTTTCTTGGAATACAGCCTTCCATTCTAGCTTGTTGAGAAAAACCTGAAACTTATCTCCATCGCTGTTGCTCCCGTCTTCCTTGGAGTCAAACATGGACCTGGTGGTGAGGTTAAGTCTTGAGAGCAGTGGCTTCGAGATGAATGAAGATGAGGGACCTTGACACAGAAGGGCCAACCAACCATTTCACTGACTTAATTCATAAGCACTGTGTTTTTTTAAGGGCGTCATCTAAGATTGCAAAGTCCAGAATCTAAATATATAAAAGTTCACCACTGCCTACTAACGTTTTACTTCACTCTCTCCAATGCAATCATCCTCCAGATTATGAACATTAACTTCCAGATTCCTGGACAACACCTTGACCAGAAGGGCTGGCATAAACTTTGAAATCACTCATGGAATCAAAGGATTATAGAATTAAAAGGAATGGCAAGCATCTTGTCTGATCTTCTGCAATATGCAGGAAGACCCATCAATCCATCCTTGAGAGATGCCAAGCAGTGGTGAAATCCAAATTTTTTTACTACCGGTTCTGTGGGCGTGGCTTGGTGGGCATGTCAGGGGAAGGATATTGCAAAATCTCCATTCCCACCCCACTCTGGGGCCAGCCAGAGGTGGTATTTGCCGGTTCTCCGAACTGCTCAAAATTTCCGCTACCGGTTCTCCAGAACTTGTCAGAACCTGCTGGATTTCACCCCTGATGCCCAGCCTCTTTGTTAAAACCTCGAAGAGATGAACAGCATACAAACTCTGCAAGTATTCTATTGATCTTCAAAATTAATCCTGGTACCAAAATCTAACTAGTTCAGTAAATAACCACTGTGTTTCGACTACTATGGTTTTCAGAAGCAGCAATCTGGTGGCTGTTGTGGCTCCATTGCCTGAGCCTGGGCTATCGACAGATGCAGACTCTGAGAGTGAGGAAGAGGAGTTGGCAAGGCCTCCCTCTCCAGGACCCTCCTCTCTGGCAATGCCTCCGGAGGACACCGAAGGCCAAAAGATAGGCTCAGAGCCAAGCATGTCCCTGCAGCCACAGGTAGACAGTGACGAAGGAGATAAGTGCTGGCTGGACCCTCGTCAGAGGCGCAGGGAGAAGCGTATGCAGCAGAGGGGAAGGCGTGCCAGAGATTAGCTGAGTCACTGGACCACACCCCACAGGGTATAAATGTGGGTGTGGTCGCCGGTTCAGTTTGTGATGAGTAAAAACTAGAAATAATCCATGATCTCTGCATTACTGGACTTTGCCTGCTTTATCGGACTGCATTTGGATTAATCCTTGTATTGTTGAAAACTCTGCCTGTTTTATTGGAATGCTGGCAGTCTAATCTTTGTTTTGTGTGAGTAAAGTCTGAATTGGCAGCTAGCCACTGGGTTGCTGCCAGCTTTATTTTCAAAGAATTTTGTCGTGTGGCTTATTAACTCCGGGACGTCTGTGGGGGTGCGTGAGTGGAACGGGGACAGAACAGTGGTGAGCCCTTAAAAATCTAAGAAACCCACCAGTAGTTCAGTTTGACTGAAGATGACATTCTGTAAAATGGTTCTGCTAAAAAAAGCACCGATACCTGCTCAAAGACATGGTGTTGCTTTGAAAGGACAGGTCCATCAAAGAGATGTTTAACAGCATTGAGGTCCAGCACCTGATCACCAATGGCTACTCCAATCCTGTGTCTGGGCTGCAAGAGAGAGAAATACACATGAGAAGCAGAAGTTTCTCAGCTGCTATTCCGGCCAACCAAAGTAATCTTGATTATCCATAGCTCCCAAAAGTGAATTGGGAGAGAAGGAGAAGGGGGCCATTGAAAAACTCATTCTGTTTCACGAACAATTAAAGCTTTAAAGCGGGTAAGAGATGATGGTTAGAAAGGGAATATGTTTAAATACAGTAGTGGCATAATCAAAATTAGACTAGGGATGGAAACTAGAGAGAGGGGAATTAATAGAATACACATTCTTATATAATAAGGAGAAGTAATAATAAGAAGGGAAATTAAAATTTGAATGACGGTATTACTAAGTATACTTAAATAATATGGCGACTGGCATTAAAATAATATATTGAACTATTGATTAAATAAATAATAAAAGATTTATAATTCAGTATGAATATGTGGATGTTTGCTAAATGTAACAAATATGATTAAAATATTTTATTTGTATTAAAAGGATGACATGCAGAATATGGTGTTTGACATAAAAACAACATATTTGAAACATTGAATAACTAAATAATGAAGGATTATAAATTGAACAAGCAAATAATGGAAGATTTTAATTTAACATAAATGTTTGTATTATTATTAGAATTATATAAGCTTGCTAAATGTAACAAATATGATTAAAATATTTTATTTGTATTAAAATGGATGACATGCAGAATATGGTGTTTGACATAAAAACAACATATTTGAAACATTGAATAACTAAATAATGAAGGATTATAAATTGAACAAGCAAATAATGGAAGATTTTAATTTAACATAAATGTTTGTATTATTATTAGAATTATATAAGCTTGCTAAATGTAACAAATATGATTAAAATATTTTATTTGTATTAAAATGGATGACATGCAGAATATGGTGTTTGACATAAAAACAACATATTTGAAACATTGAATAACTAAATAATGAAGGATTATAAATTGAACAAGCAAATAATGGAAGATTTTAATTTAACATTAAATGTTTGTATTATTATTAGAATTATATAAGCTTGCTAAATGTAATAAATATGATTAATAATATTCTATTTGTATTAAAAGGTGTGACACTTAGAATAGGGTGACTGGCATAAAAATGACACCTTGAAATATTGAATAACTAAATAATGAAAGATTATAATTTAGTAAAAATTTGTATATTATTACTAGAATTATATAAGCTTGTTAAATGAAACAAATATGATTACTACTATTTTATTTGTATCAAAATGCCACACTGTTCACCCATTGATATGTTTGTAAAAAATAAAAAACTTGAAAAATCGAAAAAACTCATTCTGTTTCTCTGCAGATGACTCCCATCAAAAATAAATACCCAGAGAGAGAATTGGGGTCGGAGAGCATAAAACTTTTAAATTTTTTTGGGGAAAAATCTCATCCCTTGAATGCTTGTCCCTCTGTTAACTTCAGCAAACAGGAAAGTTAATATATAACTTACGGCGTAGAATTCAATGGCTCTGGAGCTACTGATTTTGGTAGCCCTCCAAGAACCTAAAATTTTCCCATATTAGCCCCGCACTTTAAGACTTTATGGATAGCCAGTTGTTATTATCATTGGAAAGGTATCATAGATTTAATATTGATGCAATCAGAGGTTCTCCTGAAAGGAGCAGAAGATTGGCTTTGAGTTGTCTGTTAAATTAGTAACACGGTTGTTAAGTGAATCTGACCTTGGTTGCCAGAAGGCACAAAATTTGATCGCATGACCTTGGGACACTGCAACCCAGTGGTGAAATCCTGCCAGTTTTGTCCACACCGGCACCGCGTGGTTCGGTGAACTGGTAGCGGCGGTAGCACGAGGCTCCGCCCACCCGCCTGGACGTCGTTACTTCCTGGTTTTTAACCCTCTGCGCATGAGCAAAGCCTTCCGTGCATGCACAGAGGGTCAAAAATCAGATGTGACGATGGCGCGTGCACTTCCGAACCGGTAGGGAAGGTAAGTAGATTGTAGATTGTAGAATGTAAATCACGTGAGCCTGGGGATGCTGCAATGGTCCTAAGTGTGAAAAATGGTTATAAGTAAGTCACTTTTTTCAGTGCTGTTGTAACTTCAGACAGTCACTAAAGGAACTGTTGTAACTTGTGGACTGCCTGTATCCCTCCAGAGATTAGAAGTGAGGTGTGCTTTTAACACATGATCCATGTTTTCCAAAGTTGCACCTACCAGTTGGGTACCATGGACATGCTTCTTCTGTTGTCATAACGGGACTCGGGTGGGCTTCAAAAATTTTAGCAAGGGGTTCCCTGACTAGTTGCTGGGTGGGTGTGGCCTTTTGCACCATGGGGGGTGGGGTTTGCCCTCCCCAGGCTCCGGAGGCTTTCCTCAAGCCTCCGGGAGGGAGAAAACAGTCTCCCAGGCTCCGGAGGCCCTCTGGAGGCTGGAAGCAGGCCCATTTCCAGCCTTCCCAAATTTCCGGTAGACCCATTTTTTTGCCCTCCCCAAGCCTCCGCACACGCGTTGCTCTTACCTGCATCCAAAACAGGCCGCGTGGGGACTCCTGGGAGGGGAGGGGCAGGATTAGCGGGGCCAGCCAGGAGTGGGATTTGGGGGTTCTCCGAACTGCACAGAATCTTAGCTAGATTCTCCCGAACTCCTGCATACCCCCAGCAGCCCACCTCTGCTGGGACCCCAATCAGAAGGTGGGCCAAATGTGTCCTAATGACAGTGAGTCTTTTAGGGCTCTACTTGCAAACTTTTTTCAGTGCCGTTGTAACTTTAAACGGTTACTAAGTAGACCATTGCAAGTCAGGGACTAGCTGTATTTTATGAGCAAATTCGCCAAGCTTAGAAACCAGTTAAGAGAAGGTGGGAAAGAGGTCAACTCTTCGCAGAAAAATCATGGCGGCTAACTATCAATGGACACTTTGAATGCAGGGGAAGGGGGAGTGACTGCAAGGAGAGACAGAAGCAGAAGCTGCACAGCTTATGAAACCCTCTCTGGGACTCTAGAGTCATAGGTCTGGAAGAGACCCTCAGAGGCCTTCTAGTCCAACCCCCTGCTCAAGGCAGGAGCCATATACCATCCCAGCCAAGTGGTCGTCCAATCACTTTTTGAAAACCTCCAGTGGCAGTTAAGAAGTAAAAAAGAAAATTGTCTTCCAAAACTGACAGGAGTTTTTTTTCTGGCGAGATCTGTCTATCAGGGCAACCTGGTCTACCCAAATATGGGATGGAGCATACTGCTTCCATATGCAGCCCGGATTTGAATCCCAGAAGCGTATGGCTAGCTGACGAGAGCTAAATAACTTGAAATAGATCTATACGAGTCTCCCTTTATTTCTTTGTCGGTAAATTCAACACAAAAACTCCAGAGGTGGAGCATCCATAACCCCAGGAAGCAAGCTATTCCATTAATATTCCATGAGCCTGGATAGCTCAGCAGACTAATGCATTGTAATTTAACTCCAGCTGTCTGCAATTAGTAAGTTCGAATCTTACCAGGCTCAAGGTTGACTCAGCCTTCCATCCTTTCTAAGGTAGGTAAATTGAGGATCCAGTTTGTGGGGGCAATAAGCTGACTTTGTATAAATATACAAAAGTATGAAGGCTATTAATTAACGCATTGTAAGCCACCCTGAGTCTCCCGAGAAGGGCGGCATATAAATCAAATTAGAAAAAAAAAATTGCTCTCACTGACGGAAAATTTCTCCTTACTTCTAGGTCTAAGACTTGACATTCTCAACCAATTAACATTTTTGGGACTATTCCAATTATAATTTTGCCACGACTACCACATGCGGTGGCTGAGCTTGTCGATCGAAAGGTCGGCAGTTCAGCGGTTCGAATCCCTAGTGCTGTGTAATGGGGTGAGCTCCCGTGACTTGCCCCAGCTTCTGCTAACTTAGCAGTTGGAAAGCACGTAAAAATGCAAGTAGAAAAATAGGGACCACCTTTGGTGGGAAGGTAACAGCGTTCCATGCACCTTCGGCGTTTAGTCATGCCGGCCACATGACCACGGAGACATTTTCGGACAGCACTGGCTCTTTGGCTTTGAAACAGAGATGAGCACTGCCCCCTAGAGTCAGGAATGACTAGCACATATGTGCAAGGGGAACCTTTACCTTTATCACACCCCAAATAAAGTTATGGAAATTAGTATCTGTCCGGTGGATTTTTAAAGATTATTTTCCCAAGCATGTTCCCTTAAAAACCAACAGCAGGGTTGCTGACGGTCTCCGCTGATCGTTAGACTTAGTGGTGTTGCAATTTCCCAAGGCAAAGTGCCCGAATTGGACTCCTAGGACCCATCGGGATCAATAAGACACAGAAGGAAAACAAGAGAGATGAACTCAAAGTAAAAAAAAAGTAATTTGTTTGCTTACCTCGTCTCGCGTGGAAAAGATTCCGTAGGGCAGGTTTTGAATGGGGAAATGGGAATTCTCGTCCACTTTAATAAAAGACATGCTGCTTTGATCTTACAGGCACAACGGAGAGAGAAAGAGAGAGTTTCCAGATGTTGCTTGGGTTGCTAAACCCCTGTGGGGGCCCTCCCTTTTTCAATATGAAACAGCCAATCAGTCTTGTTTCTTCTCTCCCACCCTCACCGAATTTGCAATCTACAAAACCAGGAAGTTAAACAGTACCAGATTTGCACATGACGTAACAGCAGCCCCAGCTGCAGCCTCCCTCCCTCCCTCTTTCACTCAAATTCTTCCTAAATCCTTCCCCAGCAGATTCAGCCTACAGCAGGGGTCACCAACCTTTCGGAACAAAGGTGGGTTTCAGCAGGTTCTGACCAGTTCTGGAGAACCGGTAGCAGAAATTTTCAGTAGTTCGGAGAACCGGTACTAAAAATGCAACTCCCTTTTGAAGGTTAAATGTTGTCAGGCAGAGTTCTTGCGATCCTCCATGTACCGACACAAGGTTCCTTTGAAACTATGGATTTTTAAAAAATTGTTAATTAAGGCAAATTAATTAACGTGTAATTGACCTTTCATTCAGAGGTCTGAAAGAAACCCAATCTGGACCTACAGGATAAAAACTCTTGTAGATCAGGAACCTAATTCTTTTCCTAGGCAAGATATTTGAGCCAGGAGTAGTCAATCAATCCCCAGTTTCCCTTGGATGAAACTGATTTTCTAGATCAATTTCCATTTGTATTCAGGGGAAAAAAAAATGTAGAACAGAAAAATTTTAGACATTCTAGGGACAACCTGGGCCAGCAAAAGCGGGAGTGTGACCCTGTTGATTCTCTTGAACTTCTCAATGGCTTTCAACTTCAACCACAAGATCCTTCTACGTAGGTTCCAGGATTAGTAATGTGGTATATTCTACTACTATTGAACTCTGGTGCTGGAGAAGACTCCTGCGAGTCCCTTGGACTGCAAGGTGATCAAACCGTTCAGTCCTAGAGGAGATCAACCCTGACCGCTCTTTAGAAGGCCAGATCCTGAAGAGGAAACTCAAATGCTTTGGCCACCTAATGAGAAGGAAGGACTCCCTGGAGAAGAGCCTAATGCTGGGAAAGATTGAAGGCAAAAGAAGAAGGGAATCGTTCCTAATGCTGGGAATCGTTCCTAATGCTGGGAAAGATTGAGGGCAAAAGAAGAAGGGGACGGCAGAGAATGAGGTGGCTGGATGGAGTCACTGAAGCAGTCGGCTTGAGCTTAAATAGACTCCAGAGGATGATAGAGGACAGGAAGCCTGGAGGAACGTCGTCCATGGGGTCACAATGGGTCGGACACGACTTTGCAACTAACAACAACATATTCTATTAAGAATAGAATAGAATAGAATCGAATAGAATCGAATCGAATCGAATAGAATAGAATAGAGTAGGAGTAGGAGTAGGAGTAGGAATAGAATGTAGAATAAAATAGAACAGAACAGAATAGTAGCTGGAAGGGACCTTGGAGGTCTTCTATCCAGTCCTCTGCTCAAGCAGGAAACCCTATACCCGTGATGGCGAACCTATGGCACAGGTGCCACGCGGAGCCATATCTGTGGGCACGTGAGCGTTGCCCTAGCTCAGCTCTAGCGCGCATGTGCGCACCGGCCAGCTGATTTTTCGGCCTTCCAGGCCTACTGGAAGTCAGGAAATGGGCCGTTTCTGGCTTCTGGAGGGCCTCTGGGGGGGGTGGGGAAGGCGGTTTTCACCCTCCCCAGGCTCCAAGAAAGCCTCTGGAGTCTGGGGAGGGCAAATAATGGGCCTACCGGGCCCACTGTGAACCTTTTTGCCATCATGTGCCAAAAGCGAGGGTAGCGCAGGAGGTCGCGTGCACATGAGCTGGGGTGCGGGGTGTTATTGAATTATGTGTGGGCACGCGCACATGCAACCCCCCACGCTCCTGGCACATGATGGCAAAAAGGTTAGCCATCACTGCCCTCTACCATTTCAGACAAGTGGCTGTCCAGTCTCTTCTTAAAAACCTCCAGTGATGAAGCACCCACGATTTCTGAAGGCAACTTCTGTTCCACTGGTTAATTGTCCTCACTGTTAGGAAGTTTATCCTTAAAAGGTTCTTCTCCTACTTGGATACTCGTTTCCAGAAAGTGGGGTACAACTATTGTGCTTCCTGGTGGTTGGGCTGGTGTGTGTGTGTGTGTGTCCAAGGCTCCATGTCGTCCTCCATGCTCGTCAGTATCTCTTTTTCATCTAATGCAGGTGCGGTGGTTGACCTTCAGAGCCGTGCTTGGTAGTGTAATGGATGGAATGATGGCTAATAAAACAAGACTCAACCCACTGCTTCTAGAGGAGGGACCAGTCCAGCTGAGTAATGCCCTACCATCCTGGAAGGATGGCTTGCTCCAAGTTATTGTTTGCTCCTGCCTAAGCAGTGGGGTTGGACTAGAAGACCTCCAAGGTCCCTTCCAACTCTGTTATTCTATTCTATTCTATTCTATTCTATTCTATTCTATTCTATTCTATTCTATTCTTCGAATTCTATTCTATTCAAATTCTATTCTATTCTATTATCCAAATTCTATTCTATTCAAGTTCTATTCTATTCAAATTCTATTCTATTCTATTCTTCGAATTCTATTTTATTCTATTCGTATTCTATTCTTTGAATTCTATTCTATTCTATTTGAATTCTATTCTATTCAAATTCTATTCTATTCTATTCTTCGAATTCTATTCTATTCTATTCTATTCTATTCTACGAATTCTATTCTATTCAAATTCTATTCTATTCTATTATCCAAATTCTATTCTATTCAAGTTCTATTCTATTCTATTCAAATTCTATTCTATTCAAATTCTATTCTATTCTATTCTTCGAATTCTATTTTATTCTATTCGTATTCTATTCTTTGAATTCTATTCTATTCTATTTGAATTCTATTCTATTCAAATTCTATTCTATTCTATTCTTCGAATTCTATTCTATTCAAGTTCTATTCTATTCTATTCAAATTCTATTCTATTCTATTCAAATTCTATTCTATTCTATTCTTCGAATTCTATTCTTATTCAAATTCTATTCTATTCTATTCTTCGAATTCTATTCTATTCAAGTTCTATTCTATTCTATTCAAATTCTATTCTATTCAAATTCTATTCTATTCAAATTCTATTCTATTCTTCGAATTCTATTTTATTCTATTCGTATTCTATTCTTTGAATTCTATTCTATTCTTTGAATTCTATTCTATTCGAATTCTATTCTATTCTATTCAAATTCTATTCTATTCTATTCTTCAAATTTTAAACAAACAATGCAAAGCCATTAATAAAACTTTACAAACAAGAAATGGTTTGGCTCACCCAGCCTGACCTAAGCTAGAAACAAAGCCACTATATGACGACTTGCTTTGAAATGCAACGTTTTTTTCTTTTCTTTTCTTTTGTACATGTAGATTTGCTTTCCTTGTGGCCTATTATATAGGATCCTCTCCGATTGGGCTGCTTAGAAATGTTGTTGGTGAATAAACAGCATTTTTGCAACATATAACTTCAATACACACAGAGAGACACACACAAATAGTCGATCCTACGTAATTTTTGAATCCCCTGTTCTAATCGAAGGACTAGAATTTCCTTACAGATATGCATTTCTAGAAAAGGAACAAAGCAAAAAATCATCATTCATTACTTATAGGAAGTCCTTATGCAATTTGATTCCCTTTAATACAAAGTTCAAATTCAACAAAGCATTTACAGTCTGGGCTGATTGTTATAGAACACGGGGTAGTCCTCCACTTACGACAATTGAACCCAAAATTTCTGTTGTTAGGTGAGATTTGCCCCATTTTATGACCTTTCTTGCCACATTTGTTAAGGGAATCACTGCAGTCATTAAAGTCAGTTACACGGCTTTTAAGTGAAAAGGCCATCGTAACCATGAAAAATGGTCATCAATCACATTTCTCGGTGCCGTTGTAACTTTGAACGGTCACTAAACCAACTGTTGTAAGTCAAGGACTTCCTGTATAAAGAAAGCAGCACGCCCCGATATTGCAAATCTACCCCAAAGGCTGCCCACCGAATATCGGAGCAAACTTTTGTTTTCATTCCAGAAGACACGCCTGGATTAAAATCCCTAGATGGCGAAACTCTTTGTGAAAAAGCTTGGAGGAAGATTCTCAAGCGCAGCAGATGTTCCACAGGTGACTTTTCTTCAATAGAAATAAAACGCTCTGGACTTCGGAACTTCCTTCTTCAGGAGATAGCATCCGATGACTTCAAGCTCCGAAGAGAAAAATGGAAAATTCTGCCTTTGTATTTCACGCTTAAGACAGGAAAATCAAGAGGCATTTCTCACCAGAGCTGAGACGTCTACAAAACCAGGGAAAGACACTGAACTCGGAATAAATCAAATCCGCACCTATCCCACAGGCTCTTTCAGTACAGAAATGCAACTGGGGGGGGGGGGAGAGAAAAAAGGATATCACTGGGCAATCCTAAAGCAGTGATGGCGAACCTTTTTGGCACCGAGTGTCCAAACCTACTATCTGGAACGAGCTCCCCCCGGAGATACAGAACAATTTGGCACCTACTATCTGGAACGAGCTCCCCCTGGAGATACGGAGGATCCCGGATCTCCGTACCTTCCGTCGCACGCTCAAGACTTTCTTGTTTCATCAGGCTGGCCTGACCTAAGTCTTCCCCCTTTTTAAATGAAAATTTTAAATTTGGTTTTAAATTATTGGGGTTTTAAATTTGTTCAGCCAAATGATTTAATTCGTTTTATTCTATTTTAAATTTTGTATTTATATGTTTTATTCTATAGCTGTTCACCGCCCTGAGTCCTTCGGGAGTAGGGCGGTATACAAATTCAACAAAAACAAAACAAAAACAAACCAGAACATGCGCGTGCCAGATTGCTGGAAACCCAAAACCAGCTGGCCAGCGCACGCATGCATGCCAACCAGCTGATCTTCGGGTTTCCGGTGCTCCGGCATGTGCAAAGACCAGGTGGCCGGTACACGCATGCATGCCAACCAGCTGATCTTCGGGTTTCTGGCGCTCTGGCATGTGCGAAGACCAGGTGGCCGGTACACACATGCATGCCAACCAGCTGATCTTCGGGTTTCTGGCGCTCCGGCATGTGCGAAGACCAGGTGGCCGGTACACGCATGCATGCCAACCAGCTGATCTTCGGGTTTCTGGCGCTCTGGCATGTGCGAAGACCAGGTGTCTGGCACACACATGCATGCCAACCAGCTGATTTTTGGGTTTCTGGCGCTCCGGCATGTGCGAAGACCAGGTGTCCAGCACACAAATGCATGCCAACCAGCTGATCTTTGGGTTTCCGGTGCTCCGGCACACGGAAGACCAGCTGGCCGGCGTGCACGCACGTGCCAGAAACCATAAGCACAGCTGGTGACAGCGCGCGTGCCCACAGAGAGGGCTCTGTGGGCCACCTCTTGAACGCGTGCCACAGGTTCACCATCACAGTCCTAAAGGAAGGGTTTTCCTCTAGTTGGTATTTCAACTCCTGCACCAAAGTTGTAAAAGAAGGTTGCACACAAACTCCGTCCAACGCTGTGGTCCTTCCTATTAGCCACATTTAAGTTTCAACCGACAGGTAGTTCTCGACTTATGACCACAAGCGAGGCCAACATTTTTTTGTGGCTAAGTGAGGCAGCTGGCTTTTGTCCCACTTTACCATCTTTTCTTGCTACAGTTGTTCAGTGAATCACCTGCAGTTGTTAAGTTAGCAACATGGTTGTTAATGGAATCTGGCTTCCTCATTACCTTTGGCTGGTCGGAAGCTCACCAAAAGTTATTGCATTAGAAATACGAGCCAGTTGCCAAGGGTCTGAATTTTGATCACGTGACCACGGGGATATTTACAATGGTCATTAAATGTGAAAAACGATCATAAGTCACTTTTTTCAGTGCCACTGTAACTTTGGTCACTAAACGAATGGTTGTAAGTCAAAGACTACCTGTATAAATTTTTAATATGGCAAGAGGCTATTGGTTTCCAAGGGGAGGGCAAGTTATCATATCCATTCTAAATTCCCCTTTTTCTTCTCTTCTCTCGACAAAACGAAGTCAACTCATTTTTTTAAAAGGCTGAAAACTGTCGCAGGTTAATCGGTGTCTTTCTGTCATCTGAACCCAGACTCACCTGTCTCAGACCAATATTTAAATATTCCTCACGGCGGGTTCAATCAATACCGATATTGTTAATCAAATCGAATTCGTTATTTTCTATAGTGCGATGACCTGCATCGAATTTCTCCTTATCGCATCCTTTTTTTCCGGGCCCAAATGGATGTGTGCGCCTCTTAAAATTTCTAACAACCCCCCCCCCCAAAAAGGCACCAACTGCCTCTCCTCCGTCCCAAATTTTTAAAAATTTTATTTTAATCAAAGTTAAAGACGTGAGTGAACATAAATACAATACACTTAAAAAGTTCTTCATTCTTTGTATTGGTGCACGTAAAAGAACCCCATTAGCACAATTCCCGAGAAGATCTGCGAGCAGGCAAACTCTCAACATGCACGCTTGGAGAAAACGAAGAAAAATAAAATAATAAAATAATTTTAAAAAGGGGGAGAAGGGGAAAGAAAGAAAGAAAAAAAAAAAACCCTAGGAAAGAACCTCGAAGAGCAAGTCACACACACGCTTTTAAAACCTCAGCACTCTCTGACACACTCAGAAAACGAACGATGCATACATAAATAGATAGCGGGTGCAAACAAGCTATTATGATAACATGTGTATAAATTTTTTGTTAAGGGGGAGAGGGGAAACCAAGCAGCCTTAATGATTAAATACATTCAGTTATTGATTGCTAGTTGTGCCATACAAGGCATTACCAAAGAAGGGGGGGAAAAAAATAAAGAGGAGGGAAATTGTGCTGCAGAGACACAGAGAGAGAGAGAGAGAGAGAGAGAGAGAGAGAGAGAGAGAGAGAGAGGGAGAGAGAGAGAGAGAGAGAGAGAGAGAGAGAGAGAGAGAGAGAGAGAGAGAGAGAGAGAAAGAAAGAAAGAAAGAAAGAAAGAAAGAAAGAAAGAAAGAAAGAAAGAAAGAAAGAAAGAAAGAAAGAAAAAGGAATGCTATATACAAAATGAAAATGAAGTGTCTTGGGTTAATGCATGCACGTTTAATATGAGAAGTGGGAAAAGCACGGATGCCCTCCAACGTAACTTTGAAAAAGCCCTCTGCACTCAATATTTATTTGAAAAAAAAAAAAGATGATAATACTTTTTTAAGCCATGGTATCCATCAGTTTCCAAAAGGCCCACCTTCCTAGTGGATACAGTTGTGTAGAGTTTATGTCTTCATCTGTAGGAACTAAAAAACAAAGGACCATAAAAAGAAAAAAAAGAAAGGTTGGTTTTGTGCTAAAAGGAGAGGGGGAAATTATATGTTTCTGCATGACATGCATGATGGGTGAGACTTGTCCTCTTGAAGTCTACAAGGGGCGGGCCAAGAAAAATGAAAGACTTATGTGTGTGTGTGTGTGGAGGGGGGCTTGTGAAAAGGAAGGAAAAAGCTCAAGTCAATTTTTCATCTGCAGATGGTCAAACATTTTAATATTCCAGCTACAGGAGCAGTTCAAATCTTCTGAATCTTTTCCCCAACAACTACAGGATTCTCTTTTCTGATCTTTTCAGCTGCGTCAGCTTTGTAATTGTAAGAGCAACTGTGGACATCTGAGTAACGGTGTACAGCACAGTAAACGTTCCCACACCTGCATTCAAACCCTGGAAAGAAAGAACAAAAGATAAAATAGCAATAGCACGTAGATTTATATACCACTTCACACTGCTTTCCAGCCCTCTCTAAGCGGTTTACAGAGTCAGCCTCTTGCCCCCAACAATTTAGGTCCTCATTTTACCGACCTCGGAAGGATCGAAGGCTGAGTCAACCATGAACCTGGTGAGATTCGAACTCCCGGCAGTCAGCAGTCAGCAGAAGTAGCCTGCAGTACTGCACTCTAACCACTGTGCCACCATGGCTCATGATATAAATATTATTAACATATTGGGGTAGGGGTAGGGGTAGGGGTAGGGGTAGGGGTAGGGGTAGGGTAAGATAGGATAGGATAGGATGGGATGGGATGGGATGGGATGGGATGGAATGGAATGGAATGGAATGGAATGGAATGGAATAGAATGGAATAGAATAGAATAGAATAGAATAGAATAGAATAGAACAGAACAGAACAGAACAGAACAGAACAGAACAGAATCCAATTCTTTATTGGTTAAGTGTGATTGGACACACAAGGAATATTTCTTCGGTGCATCAGCTCTCATTGAACATAAAAAGCTATAAGTGATAAATCATGGATCATAGATAGATCAATAGATCAATCATCTATTCTATTCTACTCTGTGAATTATCACCCCCGTTTTAGACTCACTGTTCAATTCAAACCTCCAAATGACTGGATCCAAGGGAACTTACCAGTGAGACCAACCTTCTTTCTGCACATAAAACATCGAGTTTTTTTCTGTTTGGGTTTGTCAAATGATTTGCCTTGTTCTTCCGAGGAAGGTTCTGCACTATCTGATGCTGAAGCTGAAGAGAAAAGATGGATAAAGATCAGGATACAGCCAGGACATGGGAAGCCAACTCAGCACAGTTCAAATCCAAAGCCTTGGGGGTCTTAACTCCAAGAAATTAACCTTGGATCCTCTGCCATTCAATTGTAACCATCTCACTCCATTTTTTTCCTCTATGAACAATTCAACATCCTGTTTAGAGCTGGAAAGAATCCCAACGATCATCTAATCTAATCCTCTGTAATGTGCAAGAAAATCATTTTATTTATTTATTTTGTGAATGGGGGCTGCCCAGTTTCTTCAGAATATACCCCAGAGACCTTCAGAATATACCCCTGGGACCCCGTTGGTCCCAGGACATGTAAAATAAAGGTAACATTGAGTATGAAGACTTGAAACAGCAACTTTTATGATTCTTTAGTGAAAATTCCTGCAGAAGAATGCCTCAATACTAAGTCTTCTTCACTCAACTTTTCAGATTAAGCAGCCCATCAAGATATATCCTTGTTTTTGGTACCCAAATCCAAAAAAGGAACCCAAATCCAAACCAATAGCAAGCTGTGTGTAAACCACAAGTGAAGAAAACTCTAGGTATTTTCAGCACTGGTTGTTGTCAATGGTTGCAAAGCCATCCTCATAAAAAACGTTTTCCTTTCCTTCTCACCACAAGGGTTTCTGAACATCGCACCCAGTATTTTTGGGATAAAAGCCATCTCCAAAAGCACTGGGGCTAAATGAAAGAACCTGTATTTTGCATACAAGGGGATATATCCGTGACATTGCCAGAAAATATAAATATCATTATCCTCATCAGTTTACAGTCTACCTTGCTATGTATGAGATACTCAAGGTAGTTTGCTCAAAGTAAAAGATAACTCTTTTTTGGAGGTGAACCAACCACTGAAATTTTTAGAACAAATTAGAAGGTCTAATTTTGGATTCCCAAAAATGCTCTCTGGGGGCTTCAGAGTCCCTTGCAATTGCTTCTTAAATTTTTATCCCCTTCTCCCTTTCTTGCAGATGTTTAAGACACTCGTTTCACCCCTTAGGAGTTCTTGACATCTTGTTCTCAGAATGAACCCTGCCGTCACTTTTGAAGGATAAGAAAAGTCCAACCCAATCCAACTCAACCCAATCTCATCATGGCTTCACAAGGTGACCGTCATATTTCCTCTGACTGCTCCCATTGCTACAGGAAAGGATTCCAAGAAAGAGCTGCTCCAACATGGATTCACACAGTCATACACAAACCAACAATTCCAGACAAGCCGACATGGTATGCAAAAGAGCTAAGAACTAACTGAAAAGCTAAACTGGCAACTTGTTGACTGCTTAATTGGAAACCCTGTATCCGACAGCTACTTATACCAATGACTAGTAAGCAACACAGACACAAAAATGACCAGGTTTACACATGATGGATCAATGCAATCCAGACCATAAATCATTCTATGCCAAGGAGGAGAGAGATATTAAAGTACCAAAACAACAAAATGTTCCAGAGGAACTAATGCATGCAGAAAATCCTATTGACTAGTTTCGATAGAATAGTCACAAAATAATATCCCGTTGACCATCTCAATACAATAGTTCAGTGTTGGCGAACCTTTTCAGCACCGAGTGCCGAAACGGGATCACGCGTGCCAGGCGGCTGCTCTTCTGGTTTCCAGCGTGTGCATGCGCACTGGCTCCCGATTCAATCACTAGCAACCTGAATTAAAAGGGGTGAGATGATTGACCTCTACCCGAGATTTAGCAATATGGTGGAAGTGCCACGGCCTAAAGCAGGGGTGTCAAACTCGCGTCATCACGGCAGCATCACGTGACATATCGGGACTTTCCCCTTCGCTAAACCGGGCGGGGGAGGGGCCAGCAACGTGACGCATCCGGGCTGCGGGCCGCGAGTTTGACACCTCTGGCCTAAAGGATCTGCTATGGTTGCAAGATTCCATCTTGGAATCCTGGATCTGACAGTCCAATGTGGATTGGATTGTGGATTAGATAATCTTTCAAAGTCTTTCTTGGTTATTCCTTCCATGGTTTCATGAGTATCTGCCTTGGTCTCCTGTTGGCTGACCAAACTGGAGACCTTTGAAACGCTGTGATAGGTGGAATGGAAGACAGCTCTCCACAAAAACAAGATTAAACGAGCCACGGTGGCGCAGTGGTTAAGAGTGCAGTACTGCAGGCTACTTCTGTTGACTGCCGGCTGCTTGCAATTTGGCAGTTCGAACCTCACCAGGCTCAAGGTTGACTCAGCCTTCCATCCTTCCGAGGTGGGTAAAATGAGGACCTAAACTGTTGGGGGAAAATATGCTGACTCTGTAAACGGCTCAGAGAGGGCTGTAAAAAGCACTGTAAAGCGGTATATAAGTCTAAGTGCTATTGCTAAATCTCCTAATGGCAGGCTAATACTTGGTTATGTTATCACATAGGATAACGTAACCATTCCATTCCCTGGATGCCGAGCGATGACACCACTGCTCCTTATGTGTTCATAAAATTAATGGCCCAAAGTAGGTCTTGAATTATGACAAGAGGAGACAATGGGTTTCTCTCACACGCTCATCAGTCATACAACAATGCAACTGACAGCAAACATTTTACTTGACAATGTAAGGCTGTGTGGAAATTTAAGCGTTCATTTAAGGTCACGCTTATTGTTAATTTTGCCTGTAAACCCTTTTGTTCTTTACAAAAACCGCATGAAGTTGAAAGGCTGCAAGTAGAAACATGAAAAAAAAAAAAGAAGATTAGAGGAGAATTATGACATGGGAAATACACAAGCAACGGTGCTGAAAAGGTGTGGGGGGGAAATTGGCATACATTTATTGGCACCACATAGTTCAGAACAGCATTAGTAAAACTACAGGTAGTCCTCGACTTATGAACACAACTGAGCCCAAAATGCACGTGGCGAAGTGAGAAATTTTGTGAAGGGAATTTTGCTCCGTTTTACGACTTTTCTTGCCACATTTGTGAAGGGAATCACTGCAGTGTGTTAAATGAGTCACACGGTTGGGTGAGGGAATCTGGTTTTCCCCCATGGACTTTGCTTGTCAGGAGGTCACAAAAGGGGATTGCGTGACACACACCCACACCCCTGGGACACTGCGACCGTCACAAATGTGAGTCGGCGAGTCAAGCATCCAAAGGTAAATCACGTTGACCGTGGGGATGCTGCAGTGGCTGTGAAAGTATGAAAAATGGTCATCGGTCACATAAGTTACAAGTGACGTGGTTCACTAAGCGAAGTGTTGTTAAGTCGAGGACTGCCTGTATGAAGTGCATGCAAGACTAAAATGGCGGCAGAAAGTAGGAAGAGGAAGAGACATTTGCAAGCAGAGGATCAGTTTGGCACAAGAGGTAGGAAAGAAAGGGGAAAAAAAGACGACAAAATATTTTACGTCTAGGTCTGATATCACTTGATAAGAATGGGCACCATTTAGATCAATTTTACCCTTTCTGATTTTCTCCAATTGGCTCCAGAACACTTAGCAAACAAATGCTTGATGCAAGAGGAGATTCCATGTTCTCCATCCTCACTGGGAGAGACACTCCTGAGCTCCATTTTATCAAATGTATCAACCAGAGCTTCCCAAACTTGTGAAATCTGGAGCACAACTACTCTATCCAACCCCCAGATGGAACAGAATAGATATTTTAATCATAATTAAGCAAACAAATTCTTTAGCAGCTTTAAAATATGAGTGTGCAACTGAGGCTCTCTGGGTTTGTAAATCCCTTTCCAAAATGATGTTGTTTTTAACGGCGTAGGGAGTAATCAAAGCAAAGATAACGTTTCCTTTGAGCTGAGCCCAACTCCTGGGTGGCAGGGTGGATCATCTATTTTGTTATTTTGGCAATGGTACAGAAGGAGCGTGACTGGAATCAGTATCGACTTCCTAGCCATGCTGAGCAAGCACGTTGGCTCAGTTTTTAAGATGCTGGACTTTGCCGGCTAGAAAGCCGAAAGGCCAGGTTTGAGACCCGAGCGCCACGCAATGGGGTGAGTTCCCGTCCTTGCCTCAGTTCCTGTCAAGCTAGCAGCTCAAAAGCATGCAAATATGAGTAGATAAATAGGTATCACTTTGATGGGAAGGTAACAGCATTCCCTGATGTCATGCTCCATGACATCATGCCCGGCCACATGACCGTGGAAATGTCTTCAGACACTGTTGGCTCAGTGGCGGAAACGGAAATAAGCACTGTTCCCTTATAGTCGGCGACAACTAGCGGAATAAAATCCGCAGGGACTCCTTTACCTTTTGTTTAACCTACTCATGTCTCCAGCTTAGTGATTCTATGATGGGTCTCTCACTGAAATACTAGCCATGTTCAACCCTGCATAAGTGTTTTTTGGAGATTAGCCAAGGTCAGTCAAATGTCGCTATCTAAAATACCAGTAACAGTAATTGTATAAAATTTTAATTAAGTTTAAACTAAATTACATTTAGTCTTGGCCTGAATCTGTCTACTTTTTTGGAACATGTCCTCCAGAATGCTTCTTGAAGGCCAGCTCTGCTCATGGAAGCTCTCATCTGTTAAAATTGAAAAGCCACATTTAAACAACAATCCTGTTCTCAAGAATTCAGAGGAGGAATAACCTAGTGACCTCGTTTGAGGGGGGGAAAGCTAACATTTTGGGTGGCCACTTTCCCACGAGAGGGGGGGAACTTCAGGCACCATCTAAAGCAAGAGGGAGATACACAGAGATAAGCCACTAATGGAGGCTTATTTTAGCCTTTGCTTTACTGAAAGAGCTCAACAAAATGCACCACTCCAAAATTAAAGGCTTTGCTGCTGGATTTTGTTATCGATGTGAACATCTGGGGAGGAGGAGGAGGACACAAAAATGGGGCCCTGGAAGGACATTTCCAGACACACTTCAACCATTTTTGTGACAAATCAGTGCAACCCAGTACACTGTTTTGGGAAGCATGGTTACAGCCTGCAAACTTAACAAGGAAACCCACTTACCTACTGTGGTTAGTGTTAAATCTGAATCACAGCTCTTCGTTTTGGCTCTTGAGCTCTCCTCCAGGAAATCAGGGCCATCTACATTATTGTCTAGGTTCACGTCATAATCACATTCTGTTTCTGAGCCCCTGGTAATGTCAGGTAAATCTGAGTTATCCATCGAAAATTCGTCTCCGGTACTGTCTATTGAAATTGTCTCGGCAAGCTCCACTGATGTTGGTTCTATTTATTCAACGGGATATGTATTTTAGGTTATGTGTTTGTGTTTTGTTTTCTTTAGATTTTTTTTTTTAAAAAAAACATGCTACATGCAGAGTTTTAAAAACAATTTGTTTATTGTTAACATCCCCAGCCCCAACATAATTGGATTCAAGGTCTGTGAAACATAAAGTTAATTAGTTCTAGAGAGACATCAGATAACAGGGTAGGTAAATTGGTAGTAAGGATGGACTGTTTAGCAATGGGATGCAATTTTAGCCCTGTTGTGGTTAGAAGGAAGATAATAACAGCATTTATAACAAAAGAAGAAAAGTTCATCTGAAGGTGTTACCCTCCATGTAGTCCTATTTTTCCATAACGCCCCGCCCATCGCTTCCTTAACTCTACTGGATTAATTTCCCTTGCTTTGCCAAACATTGGGAAATTCAGTATTCCTCTAACACAGACAAAATTCAATTGAAAGAATGCTTAAAAGGGAAGTACAGATGGTCCTCGACTTGCGACCACAACAGAATCCTGAATTTTCCATTGTTAAGCGAGACCGTTGTTAAGCAAACTTTCCACCCATTTTATGACTTTCTTGCCATCGTTGTTAAGTGAATCTGGCTCCCCCCCATTGACTTTGCTTGTCGGAAGGTTCACCCAAGGGGATCACACGACCCCGGGATACTGCAACCGTCATATGTACAAGTCAGTTGCCAACTGTCCATATTCTGATCCATGGAGATGCGGCAACAGTTGTAAAGTATTAAAATAAAACGGCCATAAGTCACTTTTGTCAGTGCTGTTGAAAGTTCGAATGGTCACTAAATGAAGTGCTATAAATCGAGGACTGTAGCAGAATGCCTGACAGGACAGGTGCTTTTAAGATCTGGAGTCCTCTTGGAAGATAAAACTGCATAAGATAACAAACCTGCTGTCATCTTTTGCATTGGGCCTTCAGGCTTGCCACATTTACTACTGTGGGAAATTGGGAGGGGGGGAATTGTATGGAGCATGGGTGATATATAGTCAAAATAACATTCCTTTCTCAGAGAGTCAAGGACATCTTGCCCTGCACCTGGAGGGGTGTGGCTGGAAGGCATCTCCAGTTGGGACGGTGCTTTGATTGGACCATGTGATGGACATGTGGGTGCTGGGCAGGAACTTGGGCTTTCCTTTGGGTGGGGAAAATTTGGAAACTTTCAGATTCGGGTTTTCCCCGATGTACCAATATGTCATCTCTAATAAATTGGAACTTTGAGGAACTTCAAGCCTCAGAGTCTTCTTTCGTTGGGGGTGTTACTTGGAACCCTGACACCTGCATACTCAACACATCAAAACTAGACTGAAACTGTTAACAAACAAGGTATACAAGATAAGGATACCTTGGAGTCAAGGTTGACTCCTAGTAATTATTTATTTGAATTTATTAGCCACCCAACCCCAATGGACCTCAAAGCACATAACCATGTCCATGTGGTTGGGCACTGTCTTCTTCTACCATGTTGATCAACTGTCCAATCTATCTTTCAATCCTAAAGTTTTCTGGCTGTGTCCTATCCAAGAATTGTTCACATCTGATCCTGTTGATCAACGTTTTAAACTAACAAGATGTTCTCCAAAGTGGTTGCAGGTAGCAAATATTTCACATGCTCTCCGTCACTTCATTGGGATGCTTACCTACACTGTTTGCTGCCTAAATGGATACGCACATCCTTTCATAAGAATCCACAAGTGGTCAAGAAAAAAACTGGAAGAGTCAAAGATGTCTCTCTGCCTGTTTTATGTATATCATCCTTCCTGTATCAGCTGTTCCCTACAGATGTTGGGAAGCCTCTAATTTGGACATTTCCCTTCCCCCTTTTCTTGTTGGCTCAAGAAAACATGGCTTCATTTGAGATGAAAATGGATCATTTCCCTTTGACATTACCAAATCATCTTACTGACTATCCCACCCAATGGGAAGGCAGAGAGCTCCAAGCTTTCCTTCTTCATAAAAATATGCTGTTTTCCTAAATCAGTTTCCATGAATTACAACTATTGGAACTGAAAACAAAATTCTGTATCAATCGGTTTACCTCTATTTCACATCTCGCCACATCCTGCTCATCCCACTATAGAAGAAATGTATAGCTAGAGCCCCCCCAAATTCAGATGAGACTCTAAGAGTTGCTACCACATAGTCAGATTACATTGTCAGAAGTGGGGAACTGCAGTGTCTGTCTGTCTGTCATTTATATTTATAACTTGGCTTTTACAAAGGAAAATCCCAAGAACGAAACCAAGAAAAACATTAGAGAAACACATGTTCCAATAAAAAAATACTTTAAAAGCATAAAAAGCTATAATAAGAAGCAAGTATTGAAAGAGATTTCTGCATAAAAAGATTGCACATGCATTAAGTGACAGCATTTGGATTCCAAAAGTTAAATGACGAAAATAAAGGATAAAAGTGAGCTTTTGAAAAGTAAATCAATTTAAAGGACTCTAGCTTTCTGAAATAAAGGACTCTCCTTTATAATGAAAGATATATGTGGTCATCATACTTCTAAAGCCACCAGAAGACTGACAGCTGGAGCCCCACTGACTCTAAGCCATCAACCCCTGGCAAGAAGTAGTTGTCCAACTATTAACTTTGGCGAAATTTAAACATATGCTGCTTTTGGTCACAAAGCCTGTTCATCCCCCCAAAAAATTCATTCATTCATTGTTTCTTTTTCTTTCTTTCTCTTTCTTTACTTTCTTTTCTTTTCTTTCTTTCCTTCCTCTCTCCTTCTTCCCTTTCTTCCTTCCTTCCTTCCTTCCAGAAATACTGTATTTTTCAGAGTATAAGACGCACCTTTCCCCCCCTCCAAAAAAAGAGGGTGAAAATCTGGGTGTGTCTTATACTCCGAATGTAGCCCCGCCCAGCTTCTCAAACGGAGATTTCAGACGCTGAAAAAAGCATCAGAAACGAAGCTTCAGAAAACAAGCCCCCAAACAGAGCTTCAGAAAAAAAGCCTCCAAACAGAGCTTCAGAACAGCCCCCAAACAGAGCTTCAGAGGCTTTTTTTCTGAAGCTGTTTTGGAGGCTTTCAGAGGCAGAAAAAAAAGTTTTTTCTGAAACAGAGTTTCAGAAGTTTCAGAGGCAGAAAAAAAAGCAAAAAAAAAAAAAAAAAAAGCAAGGCACAGAGCTCACAACCAAGGAACCTGTTGCTAAAATTCACCTCTGGGAACAGCTGATTGGGGGTATTCCAGAAAGCCGATCCATCTGCCAATCAGCTATTTCCATATTTTCCTCCCCAAAAAACTAAGGTGCGACTTATACTTCGAAAAATACGGTAACTCAAGGCAGAGAACATATCCCACACACCTTCCTCCTCCTATTTCCCCCACAATAACACAATCTCTGTGAGATTAGTTGGACTGAGAGAGAATAACTGGCCCAAAGCAACCCAGCTGGTCTAAGGCGAGACTAGAACTCACAGTTTCCACACTTTTTAGACTAGTGTCTGGCTGGCTGGGGGATTCTGGGAGTTGAAGTCCACCCATCTTCAAGCTACCAAGGTTGAGAAACACTGGTCTAGACTGATCCCTTAATCACTAGACCAAATGGGTTTAAATGCTGCCATTTACTTTTTGTTACTATAACTCCATAGATAACCAGTGTCACATTCTACCAACAGAGAATTACTCAGGGGGGGAAAAAACCACACTAAAAACAACCCAGATCCAATAATATTACCTTCTAGGATTTAAAATCAGAAGGATGCTCAAATGCTCTTTAGTACAGAGCAGCAATCCCACATCGCTGTGGCTTGGCAACCTGGGTTGGGGTGGGGTGGGGTAGGGGAATTGAGCTGCATGAGCAGCGGGCCGGCTCGCATGTACATGTGTGCATGCAGCCCTTGTGTGAGTGGTGGGCCAGCACGCATGCGAGTGAGTGCCTGCCAAGCAGGGTGGATAAAAATCAATGATTTTTTAAAAAAAAAAATCAAAAAAATCAGATTTTTTTTATTTAAATCGGATTTTTTTTTATTTAAATCAGATTTTTTTGATTTTTATTGAATTTATTTTAATAAAAAAACTTTGGGGGTAAAAATCTATCGTAAGATAGTTTTCTATTTAAGATACATAAATAATTTAGTTTAATCAGCATGAAATGGAGCTTAGTTATGTAGCAGGAGGCTGTATATTCTGCAACACTGGGACTATCGGTGAGTCAACAGCGGGTCAAAGGAGCAGCAGAGATGACAGTTGCTCTTTAAAAATTATGATTTACATCGAGTTGATTTAAATCAAGCCTTTTTACTAGTGATTTAAATCATGATTTAAATCGACTCGATTTAAATCAAATCCACCCTGCTGCCAAATCTGCTGTTTACACAAGTTGAACTGCGAGAACTCCGGCCAACCACTCACGCGGTCCAATTCTGAATAGGCCACAACCCTAGCCGTGGCCCAGGAACTGGGAACCCCCTGGTACAGAGCACTATTATGGCAATTCCAGAAGGACATTCCTTACCACGACTCTGAGTCAATCTGCAGTCCCTGCAGCTTCATTCAGTTCTGCTGGTGGCGGCTTTTGAACAAGGAGAATGTTCCGATCGCCGGTCATAAAGCAAGTGAACAAACTTTTCCTTTTCTTTCTTGCCTCTGGGGCAAAGTGTGCAATTGAACGAGGAAGAAACGCACCCCCCCAAAAAAAGAAAGAAAGAAAAGAGAAGGCATTCCAAGGCTCCCTTCGTGCTAACCTTGTACGTCTTCTCCTTGAGGTTTATCCATGATGTCTGAACTTTCCACTTCACATGTTGCCACAGATTCTGCTAAAAGGGACGATGGGCTGGATACGGGGCTGGGAGAGAAGAAAAGTTTGCTTTAGAAACTGCGGCCATTTTCTGCTACGTAGGAAAAGGGTCTGTGACAAGTCACAACGGCCAACTCGGTAAATTGGCCACGGGGAGTTGGCCACTGTGAATTGTCGCAGACCCTTTTCCTACGTGGCCAACTCGGTGTGGGACAACTCACCACAGCCAAACGCACCGCAGTACAACTCACTGCGGAACAACAATTACACAAATATCAAAGAACGAGTGGAATAGAATCATTAAGGGAAGGGATGCCAAAGGAGGGAGAGAAGGTTGAAAATTAAAATATTTTTTTATTTATTTTAAATAATTAAATAAGAATTGTTAAATTGTCCCGTGGCGAGTTAGCTGTAGCGAGTTGGCTGTGTCATGTTGTCCCATTTAGGAAAACACCCAGAGAAATCTATTAAGATCTATAATTTCAATGGTTTATTAAAAGTGTACGCAGGGGGCAGGAGTGGGGCTGCTGAGGGTTCGCATAGGTTCGGGAGAACCTCTAGCTAAGATTCTGTGCAGTTCGGAGAACCCCCAAATCCTACTCCTGGCTGGACCTGCCCATCCCACCCCACCCCTCCCCGGAGTCCCCACACGGCCTGTTTTGGATGCAGGTAAGTGCAGGGCCATGCGGAGACTCGGGGAGGGCGAAAAATGTGCCTACCGGAAGTTCAGGAAGTTCTGGAGGCCGGAAATGGGTCTGTTTCCTGCCTCCAGAGGGCCTCTGGAGCCTGGGGAGGCTGTTTTCGCCCTCCCAGAGGCTCAAGGAAAACCTCCGGAGCCCGGGGAGGGCAAAAACGTTAGAAGGCAGTATTGCAGGCGAACTCTGCCCACAGCCTGGACTTCGATCTTGACAAGCTCAAGGTTGAGTCAGCCTTCTGTCCTCCCTTTTAATATGCACTTGCTACAGTGCATATGAAAAGGATATAAAGAAAGCTAAGGTATCAACCACAAAGGTTTTTTTTAGGTGCAAAGCTTCACCTAATCCTTCCCGGGAATCAGCAAAATGCTTGGGTGAAGATGTCCAGAGTTGCTGCGAGTTGGATGGTTTAAATAAATTTGCTACATTTATTTAATAAAGAAGAAACAGATCTGGCTGCTTCCCCAGAGAGAGGCTGTGCATATTTTTTTTATCATTAGATTTATATCCCGCCTTTTATTTTCTACAGCTCAAGGAGGTGGTACATAATACTTGTCCTCATTTCTCTATAACCTCCCTGTGAGTTGGGTTAGGTTGGCTGGTCTAAAGTTACCCAGCTGGCTTTCATGCCTTAAGGGAAGCCTAAAAATCATGGTCTCCCAAGTTTCTATCCAGCACCTTAATTCTTACACCAAACTGACTTTGCAAAGCAAATCATCCCAGCTAAAGTTCAAAGCATCATACTGCCCAATTGCTTAGTCCTTATTAAACATTATGGGCAGGTAGAATAAGAACCATCCCACTCCTGCTTTAATAATACTCCTATGTTAATAATATTTATATCATGAGCCACGGTGGCACAGTGGTTAGAGTGCAGTACTGCAGGCTACTTCTGCTGACTGCCGGCTGCCTGCAATTTGGCAGTTCGAATCTCACCAGACTCAAGGTTGACTCAGCCTTCCATCCTTCCAAGGTGGGTAAAACGAGGACCCAAATTGTTGGGGGCAATATGCTGACTCTGTAAACCCCTTAGAGAGGGCTGTAAAAGCACTGTGAAGCGGTATGTAAGTCTAAGTGCTACTGCTATGTAAAGCACTATGAAGCGGTATATAAGTCTAAGCGCTATTGCTATTGCTATCTGATTTCTATAGCCATCCATCTCAACAAGCGATTCTGGATAGCAGACAATCTAAAACTAAATAGACAAGCAAGTGTCTATCGGGACCAATCAATAAATAGGAAGATCATCCTGGACCACGTAGTTTGCAGATCGGACCACCCACAAAAAACATTCAACAAATTTTTAGTATTATTACCTTAGCTGTGTAGCTGGTAAAGGTGTAGAATCTAGAGTTGAAGGAACGTCCTGAATGCTGCCGTCAGTGCATTGAACTGGTAAAGATTCAGTTAGGCTATTAACTGAAGTTGCTAGAGGAAGAGACAATCATGTCAAAATAGCCTTTCATTATGTCAAGATTCTGCTCACTGTCAACGTTACCTCTCTTCTTGGAGTTGGTGGAGTGGCTTGCAAAGGTTTCAAACTGTAGTAGATTGGGCAATGTTACTCGTTCCAAAGTCATAAAATTAAGATGGCCAATATTTTTTTGCAAGACAAATCTATTCTGATTAGCAGCAGGCAAACCCAGACTGCATTTCAAAGAGGTAGCTACAGTAGTGGCCAAAATTGTGGAAACCTTTTGGGAAAAGTGTATTTTCTAAAACTAGCTAATAACACCACTTTTGGGGGGAGTTAGTACCATAAAATTATATATCAATGGAAAGATAATTTAATCAAGAATGTAATGCAATAACTTTTATGAAGGATTTGCTGCTATTAGAATAGCAGTTACAGTTTAAAGAAAAGGGAAACACGTAGAAAAAAACGAGATATACAAAAATGATCACCATAGAAAAAACGAGATATACAAAAATGATCACCATGTCAGTTAATACTTAGTTGGGTAACCTTTAGCATGAATTATGGCCTTACAATGTCTTCCCATGGAGTGAACCAAGTCTTTTAGTTCTGCAGCTGTTATCATGTGAAGCCAAGATTGAATGATTGCTTCTATTAACTGGGTTTTACTGCTGGGTCGCTTTTGACTAACAATTTTCTTTAGTTGGCTTCAAAGATTTTCAATTGGGTGAAGGTCTGGGCTATTCCCAGGCCATTCCAGCAGTGCAATAGGATTATTTTGAAACTCCAAAAAAAAAAAAAAAAAAAGTTGTGTTATTAGCCATCAAACCTCAAAAATACACTTTTCCCAAAAGGTTTCCACAACTTTGGCTACTACTGTAGAAGGTGTAAGGTTTTGTGGTTGTTGTTGTTGTTGTTTTTGCTTTGGGGAGGAGAGAAAGTTCCTAACTTGGAGGATGGGAAGATTAGCCACCCTCCTTCAGCCCGCAAGCTGTCTTGATGAAAAGCAAATCGCTGAAATACATTAGTTGCTCTGCCATGCTAGACTCCTGTGCTGTGGTTAACTTAAGCAACAACCCAGAACTTGGCAAGTCAACTACCCCTGTAATGAGAACATCTGCAATTCTGTGTTGACTCCACTGCAGCTGTCAACGGAGTTATCACCGGTTCTTCCTTTCCTCAAGTTATTTATGCCTCCCTTTTTCCAGCTAAGTTGTGCAAGCTTCTGCTGACAAAGGCACATTGATCAGAGTTGGGTTAACGTAAACAAGCCAGCGAAATCAAGCTTCAATTATACTGAAAAGGCCGTGGTAATATGATTTGTACAGAAGGCTGCATTTAATGCTGAATCATATCCTAAATGTTAAGGCTGGAGGACCCACACAATTAATCACGGTTGCATATTCTCTTCTTCCTGCTTTCCGTGGCTTCTGATAAAAGCAGGAAGCAGGTTGTTCATCGGTTCCATTTTCTACATAAAGTGAAGTGAAAACCCCAACCAGGCCTAGGATATTAGGTAGCTATCGATGGGTGAGATGCAGGGGTGGGTTCTAATTTTTTTTACTACCGGTTCTGTGGGCGTGGCTTATTTGGTGGGCATGGCTTGATGGTCATGTGACAATTCTTTAGGATTTAGCAGAGGTACTGGTCTACCAGGCTTTGAACTGCTTGCAGAGCTGTACCGGTCTACTCATTTGTTTTTGGAGGCACTGGTCTACCCATTTATTTTTGCAGGCACCGGTCTACTCATTTGTTTTTAGAGGCACCGGTCTACCACCACACTGCCTTTTACCACTGATCAGCTGTAGGGCGGCCCTTTGAAGCCCCGCGGCAAGAGTTTAAACAGCTTTTTTCCTTCTAGCCGATCAGCTGGGACTCAGGAGGCAGCAATAGATTGGGGATGGGGTCAAATAAAAGGTAAGAATAATGCAGGGGGGGCGGCGGGGGGGGAGAGAACCAGTTCGGTGACATCATATCATCACTGCTACCAGCTCGGCGGAACCGGGAGAAACCCACCACTGGTGAGATGGTGCCTTCCCTTCATTTACAGAAGCTAACTCAGCAGAAGCTGAATCAGGTGCTTCAACCCTGCTCACAGGGTAATGACGACTAGTAGAAGAGACATCTGAGAACCTAAGAAGTTCTGGACCTCTTAGAAACTTAACTGGACCAATCCAAAGCTCTAGTATTTTGTAGCACAGGGAAACCAACCAGATGCATTTGGGAAGTTTGGAGGCAGAATAGAAGAATGGGATGACTCCAAATTGCTTCCCTGGAACGATTTTCCAAGGATGTTGTCCGTAGGACACTGGCCAACAAAAATCATTTAATATCACTTTCTTCCATTAATCTCTCTACTCCCTTTCAAAACCATCCAGGCTAGTGGCCATCCAAACAGTTCCAGAAGTCAACCATTTCGTTTATTGGATTTAACAAGTTCTTCAAGAACTCAACGTGGAACACAACCTTCCCTTTCTCCCGTTCCCCACAGGACACCTGCAGACCAATTGGTTTCTACCTATATGCCTCCCTTGTGGGGGGGGAGGGGGCACTCTTCGGTTTCCATGAAAAGGTCATCGAGGTCATTGAGCAAAATGTCCCATGGCCGAGGATCAGGGGTGAAATGCTCCCGGTTGAGACCAGTTTGACCGAACCAGTAGCGATGGCAGTCGGTGGTTCGGAGAACCGGTAGCGATGGCGGCGCGAGGCTCCACCCACCCGGTTGTCGTTACTTCCTGGTTTTAACCAGGAAGTAACCAGTTTTTTACCCTCTGCACGTGCGCAGAAGGGTTTGCGCATGCACGGAGGGTCTGTGCGCGCACGTGACCCGTGTGTGCGAGCGAATCAAGCAAGTGCGCGCAGCGCGTGCACTTCCGAACCGGTTGGGAAGGTAAATAGATTTCACCCCTGATGAGGATGGATTTGAATCTGGATCTTCTGCTCCAATGCCAACACGTTAACCACTACAAGATACTGGTTTTCACGGAGGTACAAGGATTAAAAAAAAAAAAAAAGGCATCTCTTTAACAGAATTGAATCTCGCCGAACTTAATTCTAACGTCACAACAGAAGGGGAAACAATTAATTCTCTTTTATCCATCGTTATCCAGACATTTATCTACAATAACCCTTGTGATATCATTCTGCATCATTTCTTACCCTCATATAGAGAGCAATGTCCCAATACAAAGACATCTGGGTAACATCCAGATGAAAAAAAAAACATCTGGGCAACATCCTGATGCAAAAACATCACCTCCAGAATTCCACAGCTGATGTGACCAGTGCTGAGTTTTCATGGAAACTGAAAATCACCCAGAATAAGGCATATAAGCGGAAACCAATTATTCTAACCCCCTAATCAATTTGGTTGAACTTTTCCATCAAGGGAAGGCTGAGCATAAATTGGAAAGCCTTTATCTCATTTTCCCCTTCTTCTAACCCAGGAGTCAGCAACCTGCGGCTCTGGAGCCACATGTGGCTCTTTCACCCCGCTGCTGCGGCTCTGTCACTCAAAATATGAATCAAAACCGCCAATGTGCAACACCTGCCGGCACGCAATTTATTGAGCTTTTCAACCCCTGGTAAGCCAACCGTGGATAAATCCAAGAAAAGAAACGTTTCAGAAGAAAACAAAATGTTTAATTCAACTACATATGCTAGTTTTGTGGCCGCTCAAGAAATACTGTGTTTCCCCGAAAATAAGACCCTGGTCTTATATTTTTTTGAACCCTGAAATAAGCACTTGGCCTTATTTTCGGGGAGGTCTTATTATTTTGGGGCGCGTGGAGGAAACCAGACGAAATGGCGGGGACTGGTTGGGTTTATTATCAGGCGATGTCTTATTTTAGGGGAAACAAGGTAGTCAGGCACAGGGAGGGTTTTGTGGCTCCCGGTGTTTTCTTTTCTGTTGGGAAACTGGTCCAAATGGCTCTTTGAGTGTTTAAGATTGCAGACCCCTGTTCTAACCTCTAAGGACACCATTTCACTTTGTCCAATGGTTGGTTGATTATTCTGATCTGAATTCCACTTTGCCCCCAACTTCAGCCTCTAGGAAAGAAACAACACATTAATTCAGAGCCCTTTGTTGTATCACACTTACCTGATGGGCTAATTCTATCATTACTACCATTCTGCCGTTGAAGGTGTTCTTTGTAGCAGACCGAACACATGCCGTTTGTACGAGGGTTTCCATAAAATCCACATCCAGTAGAACATAGCATAGGCACTTGGCTATGATTAGTTTCTTGAGCCATAATATTTTCTCGCGACCTGAGGAACAAAAGATGAATGATTTCAGCAAGTACAGGGCAATTTCAGTCTTTTCAAATTGCTAAATAGGATTCCAAATAGCCCATCTCCGTCCATATTCAACCAATTGGCCATATATATTTTTTTTACACCAAGAGGTTAGAATGACATGTTCCTTCCTTGGAGACTGACAAAAAGTTTATACAACCAGCTTTGGCATGGATTAATAAACCAGCGGTTATCTGCTTTCCAACACTTATTTATTTTATTATTCATATTTCTATGCCGCCCACTCTCTGAGGACTCTGGGCGGCTTACACCAAAGACAGTATACTAAATAGCATATTGCCCCCAACAATCTGGGTCCTCATTTTATCCACCTCGGAAGGATGGAAGGCTGAGTCAACCTTGAGCCGGTGAGATTTGATCCACTGATCTGTTGAACTAGCAGTCAGCTGAAGTAGCTGCAGTAACTTCATCTAAAGGTAGGCAAGCAAGATCATGGGATCACGGCAAGATCACGGGATACCTCTGGATCCCTTGTCTTGCATATCAAAAGCATACCCTGAAGATCAACATTCTGAAACTGGAGTAACTGGTGCAAAACCAGTAAGAGCCACAGAAGAAACGGGTTTCCATCTTACCAAATGTACCAAAACAGGAAGAAAGAGCAGAAAGGGAACAGAGTAACAAGAAAAACCGGATTCAGTACAGGTTGGACTAGATCTCCATTTCTCCTAGCTGGAGGATGAATCTTGAATCATCAATCAGACTACTGGCTCCAAAGACATTATCTGCACTTTCCAAGGTGCTAAAAGATTATTTTCTTTCTATTCTTTGGTCATTTAGCAGTCGTGGAAAGTCAATCAAGAAATAGCTTCACTAACTGAAGAACAACTTGAGGTCGTTAGATAGCAAAAGGATTTTGGATTTGTTTCTTAAAAAGGTAAAGGTTCCCCTCGCACATATGTGCTAGTCGTTCCCAACTCTAGGGGGCGGTGCTCATCTCCGTTTCAAAGCCGAAGAGCCAGCGCTGTCCGAAGACGCCTCCGTGGTCATGTGGCCGGCATGACTAAATGCCAAAGGCGCACGGAACGCTGTTACCTTCCCACCAAAGGTGGTCCCTATTTTTCTACTTGCATTTTTTTTTTACGTGCTTTCGAACTGCTAGGTTGGCAGAAGCTGGGACAAGTAACGGGAGCTCATTCCATTACGTGGCACTAGGAATTCGAACCGCTGAACTGCCGACCTTTCGATCGACAAGCTCAGCATCTTAGCCCCTGAGCCACCACATCCCTTTATTTATGTTTCTTATCGTTAAGGAAAAACAGCCTTTGGTGGGATGGAGATAGAGATGTTACTTCAAATTTCTGATGGCCCAGAATCTGTTTTGCCCAGCGCTGGGAAAAAAAGTGACTTATGACCGTTTTTCACACTTATGACCATTGCAGCATCCCCACAGTCATGCGATCGAAATTCAGACGCTTTGCGACAGGCTCATATTTATGATGGTTGCAGTGTTCCAGCAGTGATGGTCTTGATCCAATTTTTGCAACCTTCTGACAAGCGAAGTCAATGGGGAAGCTGGATTTTACCTAACAACCCTGTTACTAAGTGAACGAGTATGGTGAGGCACTTCAGAACTACGGCAAGAAAGGATGCAAAATGGAGCAGAATTCACTTAATTCACTTTGCTTAGCCAACAGAAATCTTGGCCTCCATGGTTGTCATAAGTCAACCATGGGACTCGGCGGTGGGTTTCAAAAGTGGTATTTGCCGGCAAAAGATCGATCGACATGACGCGCACGCTGATCCACCAAGGCTGCCAGACGTTTGAAGACAGACTGATAACCGTAGCACAAGAGAAGCACGCACTCCGCAAAGCCAGAGCTACAAATGCTGCAACAGTGATGCCCACACAAGTCTGCCCGACATGTGGCAGAACATTCTGTGTCTGTATTGACCTTACCAGCCACCTGTAGACACACCGTGGACAACCCACAACCTGTTAGATGTCAAGGTCCTCTTCGAAAACGATAGACGAACATTATCATCATCAAGTCAAGGCCTACCTGTCACAGACTCTGTGAGAACAGGGTCAAATCCTTGCTCAAATTGTTGGTGATAATTCTGACTTAAATGTTCTTTCAATGTTCTTAATTTATCACAAAAGATCGCGGTAATAATAACCTCACATCTATCTAGTTGACCTTGTTTACTGGATTAAGAAGAATGGTTCCAGGAACTGGGCATGGCTAGTCTAGTGAAGAGAAGGACCAGGGGAGACATGATAGCAGTGTTACAATATTTGAAGGGCTGAGGGTGGGTCAAGCTATTTTCCAAAGCACCTGAAGGCCAGACAAGTGATAATAGATGGAAACTGATCAAGGAGAGATTCAACCTGGAAATTAGGAGAAATTTCCTCTCAGTGAGAACAATCAACTGATGGAACAGAAGTTGCCTTCAGAAGTTGTGGGAGCTTCATCACTGGAGGCTTTCAAGAAGAGATTGGACTGCCATTTGTCTGAAATAGTGTAGGGTCTCCTGCTTGGGTGGGTAGGGTTGGACTAGATGACCTACAAGGTCCCTTCCAACTCTGCTAGTCTGTAAAAGGCCTAATCAGCACTTGGATGGATGGGACTCCAATAGAAAATTCCACAGAAGCTGTGTGGAACCAAGCCTGGGAAGTTGGACCAACATTACTGAATAAACAGATAACCACTTAGAAAACTACAGATGTACTGTACATATCTAGTTACCAGACTTGGAAGTTAAGATACAAATAATCCTCAATTTATGACCACAACTGAGCCCAAAATTCCTGTTGCTAAGGGAGACAGTCGTTAAATTAATTTTGCTCCATTTCACGACCTTTCTTGCCACCGTTGTTAAGTGAAACACTGCAATTGTTAAGTGAGTTAACATGGTTGTTTAAGTGAATCTGGCTTCCCCCATTGACTTTGCTTGTCAGAAGGTCGTAAAAGGGGATCATATGACCCTGTCATAAATACGAGTGAATTGCCAAGCATCCAAATTTTGACCATGGGCATGCAACCATGGTTGTAAGTGTGTAAAATGGTCCTAAGTCACTGCACCCGTCCTAATATGAGTCACTTGCCAAGTGATGGCATTTTGATCATATGACCATAGGGACTTAGCAACTTTTAAGACTTGTAGACTTCAACTCCCAGAATTCCTCAGCCAGCTATCCAACCTTGGCAACTTTAAGACTTGTGGACTTCAACTCCCAGAATTCCTCAGCCAGCAAAGTTTTGCTGGCTGAGGAATTCTGGCAGTTGAAGTCCACAAGTCTTAAAGTTGCTAAGGTTGGAGACCCCTGCATCAAGGTAGTTAACACTACTGCTCAGTAGACTTTGAGCTTTGTAGCAACTTATTCCCCAGCGGTCCTATCAGAGGTGGGTTTTCAGACTTACAATGGTTGTAAGTCTGAAAAACAGTCGTAAATCACTTTTTTTCAGCACCAAGGTACCACTGTATATTAAAAATGCTTGGCTTCTGAGGTTCCTGAAAGCATTGTGCAGCTTCAATGGTTCATTGGCTCGAGGAAGGACAATGCTGTCCACCACTTTCAGCAATCAGCAGTCCACCCTTAATCCTTGGGTAAAACCTAGGTAAAAATCCTTCTTCAGAATTGAAGAAGCTTCCTGGATGAGAAGTGAAACCTCTTCAAGGAAAAACAAAGTCCAGTTGCCTTTTGAAAAAGCACCTTTGGGACAACCATGACTTGAGAATCTCCCCAGACCTTAATCTGGACATTTTTAACCTCCCTGGGAGTTAGTAAAATCTGGAAGAAATGACAAGCTGCTTCCATTTTAGTAGCAGGAACATGTCCATGCAGTGACCGAGAGTTGATTGAAAAATATATATATCCTGTTTTTAGCAAACATAATTCTAGCCGCTGTTAATACATTCACAATCAAATATCTCAATTCTCTATTGTATATTTCTGGTACAATCCCTAATAAAAAAATATCTGGTTTAAAGTCTATGTCTATGTAGAAAAAAGAGAAAATACCAACACAAGATGAAGTTATTAAGAAAATTATGGAATGTGCTGAAATGAGCAAATTGACATTTGAAATTAGAGAACAAGAAGATAAACAATATTACAAGACATGGGATCTATTTTATCAATGGCTAGATAATAAAACATGGAAATGAAATAGGGATGAGACCATTATAACATAAGAATGGTAGAAATGTACAAAATATAATACAAAGTTATATGACTATTGTTAATTTAGGATGAAGAAATGAATGTTATAATATAAATATTTGAAAGTAATTTTTATGAAAAAAGAGGAAAGCCATAGTTAAACGATTAATGAGGATTATATTACAAAGATACTTATTAGACGGGTAATATGAGGAATTAGATAATTAGTAAGTTATGAATATGGTGAAGAAGCACAAAAGACTTGTAACCGACTGACACACTGTTTGTAATTGTAAGGATGATGGATTTATGTTTTATTTTAAAAAATATAAAAAAATATATAAAAAATTATCCTTAAAATTCCAGGTGGGGCGGGAAACTTGGTGAATATCAAGAGAAGTATGATATGGCTCACAATAAAAGATAGCACGTGCCTCCTTATCAACCTCTGTGATATTATTCTAAGAGATCCAAAAACTGCAATACATCCTTTGTAAAAAAAAGGACCTTTACCAATTAAGAAAGCAGTGTGTTTCAATGTTGAATCGATCTGCATCCTCACCTCTACAATATTCTAGAGAGCAAAACGAGAACATACGAAGGCCTCAAAAGTCCAACTGCTAGAAGTTCTTTGATTTTCACATTCTCATTTAACAAGAGTGAGAAAAACACTTCCTGACATGGCAGTATTTGTAGAGAAACATGCTGGGGAGGAAAACTGACAGCTATTTGAGTTTAAAGCTAGATTAAAATAATGCCTATCGATTAATACATTAATGGAGAAACAAGCAAGCAAACGAAGACCGAATAACTACCCTATAAAGAGTCAACTGCATAAATCACA